CCTGCAGCTGTTAGAAGGCGGCCGGAGCCAGAGCCTTCTCCAGCCCAGGCTACGTACCTGCAGGCTTCTTCAACCATTCTGGACCCCCGCCCCCCGGTTTCTAGGGAGCCATCCAAAGGGGGCACAAGTCCTCCAGCTTTACGGTCAGGTCGGGAACTACCTCCATGGGACCGCCAGAGCCCTAGCACTGGTTCTTGGGTTTCTGTGGGTTTCTGTGGGTTTCCATGAACACAGCCAGCTTTCCCACCTCCGTCCTTGGCAGCCACTCCACACTCCTGACTCATCCCCAGCCCACAGGCAGTGAGGAGCCCCACATCTTTTCCTCATGAACTATCGCTAAGCCCCATCTCTCTCACCTTATTTTAAACTAAAGTGCCAGGATTTATATTTATCCTAGTGGTTTCATCTGGCATGAAGCCGACGATCACCCAGCCTGCCAAGGCGGGCTTCCGGATCCCAATGTGACATCTGAACTCGCTTCCAGCTAGGGTAGAAGTCTGGTGGTCCTGTCTCCCAGGCAAAGCTGGGCACAGCCGCCCCTCCCCCTCCCCAGGACAAAGTGGTCTCCTGCCAGGGGGACCTTGCCCCTTCAAGTGGACTCTAGATGTGTGGCTGCTGAGGGGTCCGCAACGCTCCCTGGATGGGGGAAGTCATGGAGTCAAGTATAACCACGTGGTACCTGAGAAAGCTTCATGTTCTGGTGGTCATTCTAGGAACTGCTTTTAACATCGGCTTGAAATATTACAGATCAGAAGTTCCCACACCTCGATGACCATCAGAATCACATGGGAACTTTTAAAGAAACAATTTCCCAGGCTCCATCTCCAGCATTTCTGAACCAGTCGAGGGTGGAGCCTGAGAGTTTGTGTTGTTGTTTTTTAAGTTCTGGGGTTATTGAATCCATACAGGCTCTTAATGATCCCCACTGCCCTTTCGGAATGCCCGCACACAATTGCTTCCAGAAGTCGGCCCTCTCTTTGGCTCTCTTCTGCAGGGGCCTCTCTGCATGGACTGGGACATGGCCCTTTGACCACGGAGTCTGGCCAAGAGCAAGTATCAGTTCTTTAAATAATGGCCCGACAAAGCTGGGAGTGGGGGGTGGGGAAGGGACCCCTTACTCAAGGTACCTCTCCTGCCCTGGCCTGTCACTCCATCACCCCATCATGGCTCCCTAGTTCTAGAGGATTGAGAAGACAAGGCACAATGGGAAGTGAGTTGAGGCTTTGTTCTCTGAGGTTCTACCAGGTTCCACCTCAAAGATGAGGTGATACCTCAGGTATAACACTTAAGGTGGCACTAACAAACCCAGTCATCATGATAGAGGATATTTTAAATATATATATTTTTTAAGTTTATGTATTTATTTTGAGAAAGAGGGAGCATATGTGTGTGTGTGAGCAGGGGAGGCTGCAGAGAGAGAGAAGGAGAGAGAATCCCAAGCAGGCTCTGCACCATCCATGCAGAGCCCAATGCAGGGCTTGATCCCACAAACCATGAGATCATGACCTGAGCTGAAATCAAGAGTCGAATAACTAACTGACTGAGCCACCCGGGCACGCCAAGGCAGGGGGTATTTTAATGCAATATTTTAAAATAGAAATGAGTCCCAAAAAATCCATGAGGGGGCACCTGGGTGGCTCAGTCGCTTGAGCGTCCGACTTTAGCTCTGGTCATGATCACGGCTCGTGAGTTCAAGCCCCATGCTGGGCTCTGTGCTGACAGCTCAGTACCTGGAGCCTGCTTCGGATTCTGACTCTGTCTCTCCCCTCATTGCACACTGTCTCTCTCTCTCTCTCAAATATAAACATTAAACAAAAGTTTTTTAAGTCCATGATGAACAAGATATCAAAATTGTAAATAAAGACAGGATCAGTAAGAGTGCCAAGCCGTATGGGAGCCTGAAGTAAAAGGAAAACTAAGTCACAGAAACAATGCAGAAGGAGGGAGAGTTTAGAGCATTTCTGACTCTGCTCCCGTCCTCCCAGGCTGCAAGTTGGCTCTGGTCCCTCTTCAGTGCCCACTGTCGCAGCTCTTGGAAGCAGCCTCTCTTGCGGAGACAGTCACAGCTCTTGCCGGTTTGGGTAACCACCCTCCCTGCCAGCTCAGGTGTAGAGGTCTCAGCCGCTCCTGCTGTCGCTGCTCCTAAAGCACTTTACCATCCCCTGCTGCTTTCTTCACCCTGCCTGCTCCTGGGTAAACTGTCCCTGCGCTCAACTCCCCCACTAGAAAGCAAGACAGAAAGACAAAGTCAAAAGACAGGAAGGAAGGGAGGAAGGAAGGAGGGAGGGAGGGAGGGAGGGAGGGAGGGAGGAAGGAAGGAAGGAAGGAAGGAAGGAAGGAAGGAAGGAAGGAAGGAAGGAAGGAAGGAAGGAAGGAAGGAAGGAAAGAAGGGAGGGAGGCAGGCAGGCAGGCAGAGCAGGAAAAAAAATATTTAAAATTTTAAACTATCCTAAGACAGAAAAGATATTACATCCATAACACAAGAACAGAATGCTTTTTTTCCCTAAGAAAAGAAATGATCAGAAAATAATAAAGAGCTCTTAGCAATTAAAAATATGATCATAGAAAAAAAATCAGTAACATTCAGAAAATTAGGTTGAGAGAAAAGTCTCCCAGAAAATGGACCAAAAACAACAAGCAAACTCTGCAAATAAACAGCCGTGAAAGGGATGGACAACAGAAAAGTGAAGGAGGTCCAATGGATCAATCCCTGAGACGGACATCGAATCAAGGAGAACTGGAAAAAGAAGGGAACAGGTGGAGAGAAGATTGTCAAAGAAATAAAACAAGGGGACTTGCCAGATCTGGTGGATGTAAGTCCCAGGTTGAAATAGTGCATCAGAGCCAGAGTCAGAATGCATCGCTGCACTTTCACAATGCTGGGGTTACACCCCAAGAGCTTCCAGGGGGGGAGGGCGGGAAGCACGTATAAAGGACAAGATTAAGAAGGACATCAGGGCTCTCAACAGTGACACTGGAAGCCAGAAGATGCCTGCAAACTTCTGAAGGAAAATTATTTTTAATCTAGAATTCTATATTCAGCCAGACCATCGATCAAGTGTAAGGATAGAATAAAGGCATTTTTGGGGCATCTGGTGGCTCAGTCATGATCTCATGGTCCGTGGGTTTCAGCCCCTTGTCTGGCTCTGTGCTGACAGCTAGCTCAGAGCCTGGAGCCTGCTTTGGATTCTGTGTCTCCCTCTCTCTCTGCCCCTCCCCCACTCGTGCTCTGTCTCTCTCAAAAATAAACATTTAAATAAATACAAATAAAATAAAAATCTTTTTTTTTAAAAAAAGGCATTTTCAGACATGTGAGCTCTCTAAAGAATTTTCCCTCCTGTGTAACCTTTCTCAGAAAGCTAAACAAACAAGTGGGAGAAGCAGGAAAGAGAGACACAGGGCGCAGATACGGGGGTTCCAATGTTGGAGGAGAGGGAGGTCCCACAGTGACCGTGGAGCGGGCAGGGAGGCAAGCAGCCAGTCCAGGTTGGAGCAGGACAACAGGAGAGAGGTTTCCGGGGGCGGGGGGGGAACCAAAAAAAAGGACAGGTTGGACCACACCAAAAACTCTATTTGAGGCCAGTAGATATATAAGACTATAGAGCCATGGTAAGTACAGGAAAGTAAACAAACAGGGGGTTGGGGCAAGGATCCAGGAAAAACAAAAATTGTACAAGCAACAGTAGGGGTGCCTGGGCGGCTTAGTAGTTTGAGCATCTAACTTCAGCTCAGGTCATGATCTCTTGGCTCGTGAGTTCGAGCCCTGCGTCAGGCTCTGTGCTGACAGCTCAGATTCTGTGTGTGTGTGTGTCTCTCTCTCTGCTTCCCCCCCCATTCATGCTCTATCTCTCTCTGTCTCTCAAAAATAAATAAACGCTAAAAAAAAAAAAAAGTCAACAATAATATTACCCGACTTGGATTAGTGGTGAACAATATTTACATGATTTCACGATATAAAGCAGAGCATATGTAAGCATACTTAACAAAAACATTGGAAGTAGAATGACACTCGAGGGAGTCCTTAAAAGGCAAATTTTCATCTACACAACAGGTATTCAACAGGTAGTGTCTAAGGGAATCAATCAAGGGGCCGCAGCATGATCATATCGCTAAGAAATCCGGCGGTAACCCTCCGGAGAACCGGCCCCCAGCGGTGCCTCATAATTTTCCTGCGTCCTAGGAATTCAATCTCAGCCATAGGTCCATAGGTGCCTCTCCACGCGGCCGCGGGCGTGCTCACACTTGCACGCACGCACACACACACACACATTCGTCACACACACTGGCAAACAGCCCACTGTGGCAGACACATAATATATAAAATACACACACACACATACATAACATACAAAAACCATCAGATGCAGGTGCAAACACATGCACAGGTGATGACAGATTCACCCCCAGACACAGAGGCCCCCATCAGCCTCCCAGAAAGCTGGCTGGAGAGCAGGGCCACATGCTGCAAGGACAACACCTCCTCTGGGCCTTGACTTCCCCTGCGCCCCCTCCCAGAACTGCTCCAGGCAGCTGTTCTCTCCCCCAGAGCTTCACCCTAATTGCCTTCTCTACTCAGTGCCCTGCCCTGAGGCCAAGCAGTCATTAACCCTTTGGGGCTACTGGGTCTGTAAATGGTGCAGGAATGGGAAGGGAGAGGGGCCTGAGCTGGCAGCTGGATATGGCTTATAATGCCACCTTCATTCAGTCTGGCAAGAGCCCACTGTCAGGAAGCCTGTGCACATGCTGTGCACCCTTGAGCAAGTCGCTTCACCTCCCTGGGTACACGAGGTGGGTGATCTACAAAGCTCTGAGCTGTGAAAGTTTAATGTCCCAGGCTGGGCCCTGCTTTCAGCCCCTCCCCTGGGATCCCTCTCTCCAAGCTGACATCCAAGGCCAGTCCCAAAGGTTATGTGATTTGCAGGGCTGACAAGTTTACATAGGGCACCTGGGGAGTCCCTCACCACCACTTCCCTCCCCTTCCATGTTCCTCTGGCACTCACCACCACCCTGGTCCCGTTATCTGGCAGTGTGTCGATGGCCAGGGTGCCTCCACCTGGGTCTTGGCTCAGCTGGGTCCTGTCCGACTCCGACATCTTCCCAGGGCTCTCTCGGGCTCTCCGACCCCAGCCCTGCGCAATCTGCTCGGCAGAGTGTCCAGAGCCTCGGCCTGCATCCTGACCTGGGAGAAGGAGACAGTGAGCTGAGTCCCGGCAGTCCAGGATGAAGGTCCAATAGGGGACTGGCCCACGGACTCTGCGGAGGCCCCGACGCCACGCCATCATTGACCGTGGGGACAACTGCCAGGGCAAGAGACACTGTGCACTGAACGCCTTGGGCCAGCTCCACGCCACACAGAGCACCTTTAATCCTCACCCAGCCCTCCATAGGAGAAATGATGCTCTCCACTTTGCAGACAGGAATCAAGGGCTCACAGAGATTAAAGAACATCACCCGTTGGGTTAGGGATGGCGGTAAGTCCCAAACCTCCAAAGGGGTATTCTCAACCTCCACTGCACACAGAATCATTGGAGGAGCTTTAAAAATTCCTACTGTTGGGGAGGGAGGTTCCTGGATGGCTCAGTCAGTTAAGTGTCTGACTTCAGCTCAGGTCATGATCTCATGGGTTGTGAGTTCGAACCCTGCATCAGGCTCTGTGCTGACAGCTTGGGAGCCTGGTTCGGATTCTGTGTCTCCCTCTCTCTCTGCCCCTCCCCTGCTCATGCTCTGTCTCTCTCTCTCTCAAAAATAAATACTAACAAAGTTTTTTTAATTAAAAAATAAATAAATAAAAATTCCTACTGTCTGGTTCTCACCCCAGAGATCCTGATATAATTGTTCTATGGTGTGGCCTGAGCATTAGGATTCTTTTTTTTTTTTTAAATAGTTTATTGTCAAGTTGGTTTCCATATAACACCCAGTGCTCATCCCCACAAGTGGCCCCCTCCATGCCCATCCCCCCTTCCCCTCCCCCCCACACCCATCAGTTCTCAGTTTGTTCTCAGCATTCAAGAGTCTCTCATGGTTTGCCTCCCTCCCTCTCCCCCACTATTTTTCCCCTTCTTCTCCCCCATGGTCCTCCATTAAGTTCCTCCTAATCCTCCTATACGTGCAAACATATGATTTTTGTCCTTCTCTGCCTGACTTATTTCGCTCAGCATAACACCCTCAAGGTCCATCCATGTTGCTACACATGGCCAGATCTCATTCTTTCTCCTCGCCATGTAGTATTCCATTATATATATAAACCACATCTTCTTGATCCATTCGTCCGTTGATGGACACTTAGGCTCTTTCCATGTTTTGGCTATTGTTGAGAGTGCTGCTATGAACATTGGGGTACATGTGCCCCTATGCATCAGCACTCCTGTATCCCTTGGGTAAATTCCTAGCAGTGCTATTGCTGGATCATAGGGGAGTTCTATTGTTAAATTTTTGAGGAACCTCCACACTGTTTTCCAGAGGGTTTGCACCAGTTTACATTCCCACCAACAGTGTAGGAGAGTTGGGCATTAGGATTCTTAAATGATCCCCAGAGAAGCTTTTGAGGAGCCCTGAATCTAACTCTGTAGACAAGGGTGAGAACCTTTGCTCTGGAACATTCCAAACCAGTTCCTTATTTCTCTGCCAGGAATGGTACATAATCTCATTTTCCAGGGGACTCCAGGGACTAGAAGTCAGAGAGTAGAGAGTTTCTTCGAGTTCAGGGCTTCTCAACATTTGCACCACTGACATGCTGGACTGGAAAATTCTTTGCTGTGGGGGCTCTCCTGAGCATCGTAACGTGTCCGGCCACATCCCCGGCCTCCGCCCACCAGATTCCAGTAGCACCTCCTCCCAGGCTGTAACAATCAAAGATGTCTCCATAGTAGGGACCAAGGTGTAGCCCTATGGCTTCCTGCAAACACTGTGGGCAAGTCCCCTTCTCCATAAAAACATGGAGCTTAGCCTCCATCAAGGATGCCAAATAGGTGTCGTCTCAGAAGCCATCTCCAATCAATTAGTGACAGCCAGGAGCGCTCTAATTGAGACAAGCCCTGAAGCTCCATCAGTGTTCAGCAGGAAAGACTGTCATGATCAATTGACAATGTCTGCCAGGGCTCAGGATTGGAAAGGGGCCGCACTGGCCATTTAGCGGCCATTCCTAGACTCCGTGCTGTCTGTCTCGTCTGGGTCATTACATTTATTCTGAATGACACAGAAACCATGCTTTCCCTTTTTAGAAATGATTGTGACGCTAAAAATATATCTTATATTGTCACTGCAATAGTCACACCTACTATGGATGTGTGTATGGGACACAGATCGCCTGAGAAGTGGTGCTCATATTTCCTGTGATATTCATCAATGTCAAGCCCACCCTGTGTCCAATGGCCTTCTCCACCACTCCCTAGAGCTTCCGGATGTAACCCTCTCTCCTAGGACACCTGCTGGTATAACTATGTGCCTGTCTCTCTGGAAGATGAGTTTTCCCGGGACTCTCCCCACCTTCTGCAAATGTGCATCCTCAGCAACTAGCAAACAGTAGGTGCTCAATCATATCATTGAGGATGCTGATAGTGGAGGTGACTTTTGGGAGCCAGCAAGGACAGAGGTTGAGACGAGGCTTGGCCAGCACCAGGCCTGGAGCTGGGGCCAGGACTCTGCTGTGGGGCTCTGGTTTGTCATTAGACATTTTATCCAATTAAGTCATTCTTGGCTGCTGGTGCTTGCTGGACCCTTGCCGGCCCTCTCTCACTTCTCTGCCCCTAATCGCAACCAGATGCTCTGGAGAAGGTGGGGAGAGGGGCAGCCCCCGGGCCCCTTCCCCAGGTTACCCACTGGCTGAGATGGGCCTAATCCCAGTGCTGGGAAGGCAGTCTGCCCGTGGCTCAGACCCCAGGCCAAGGCTGTCCTGCCCCTCTCGGGTGGGGCCACAGCTGCCTCTGGAGATACAACTGTTTGTGCTGGGCTGCTCTGCCCAGCTCCCCCGGTCCTCCCTCAAGCAGCCCTCGGGCCTGGGCAAGAGCCAGAACAGGAAAGGAACATGTACAGAGCAAGCGGAAGAGCTTAGCCGACCTGGAAAGGGATGCTGGAGATCGGCAGGCATCACAACGCTGCAACTGAGACAGGAAGGTGCCTGCAACGTGGGGGCCCAAGGCCTGAGAAGAGCGCTGGGAAGGGGGGCCCAGCCTGATGAGGGGTCGGAGAATGGATACCTGTACCCACAAGCTGTTTGACCTTGGACCCATCTGTTTACCTCCCGGAGCCTCAATTCCTTCATCACTAAAACGGGGATGACCGTCATACCTATGGCACAGGCTGCCATGAGCATCAAGTGAAAAACAAATGAGAAGGCTTTATAATTAGAGGGCTCAGGGCCAAGGTCAGAGGCAGAGTCCACTAAGTCGAGCAGGGAAGGGGACAGAGAGGGAAGCTTCCCAGGAACCTGCCCTACGCTGGCCCAGCCCTGAGTCTGACCCTCTCAGCCCCCACGACATCTGTCTCCCTGCCACTCTCCCCCCTCCCAGTTGGCAAGGACAGGACATCCCCCCTCAGCCTGTAGAAGGAGCCAGCACAGCTGGCTGCTCACGTGTGTGTGCGCGTAGAGGCCCACGTGCCTGTGCACACACAGACTTGCCTGGAGGTCCAGGCCATCCCCCCACGTGCTCACACATGTGTCGCACACTTATCCGCCCCTTGGCCACTCTCTGCTCTACCTTCTGTCCTGCATTGGAGAGCGCCATCTTCCCAGCCCCCTGTGTCATGTGAGCGCACCTGCCTGTGAGTGACGGCGAGAGGCTCGTGGAGATCACACTGCTCTTTACTCATCTACGTGTCCACCCATGGCCCCAAGGAGCATACTGTCGCAACAGTAACAGGAAGAATGAAAATGGCAGCTAACTTTTCAGAAATGCTTACTCTGTGCTACAGCTCTTCCAAAGCCTTTAAACAGATCAACTCATTTAATGTTCCCAATAACGCTAGTTTTAGATCTATTTAACAAACTGGGAACAGAGGCACAGAGATGTTAAGGAATCTCCCAAGGTCACACAGCTAGTCCACGGCAAGATTGGCACACGGGCAGGCTGACCTCGGGGTCTGCTCAGGCCACAGAAAGTGTAACAAGGAGTGACCAGCAACCCCAGGCTGTTTCCTAAGGTGCAGGGCAGCCCAGGGAAGGACTGGAGTGTGGGCCGGGCTTACGGGGATCACTGCGTCTGCACTTAGGAGCTGCCCTGGGACACTGTGTCCCCTGGCATGCGGGGGGGCAGCCCGGCCGCAGTAGAACCCCAGGTCCCTCCATGCACCACTGCCCTGCTCTGGCGCAAGAAGCCACTGGCGGACTTCAGGAGGCCACATCACGCCACCCCCGTGTCTGGCCAAACCTCGCTCATCCCCCCCAGCACCCAAGCTTGCCATTCCAACCCCACAGCCACAGCCTCCACCCTCCATGCCCTCAAACTAGTCTCTCCCACTCTCTCCAGGGCATCCTTTCTAGAGGACACACGTGATTCCATCTGTCCCTTGCATCCAGCTCTCCACAGCCCTCCAGCTGAAGGCCCTTCCTGACCAGATCTGTGCTCTCTTCTCCAGCCTCCTGTCTCCCTAAAGCCCTCTCCGGGACCCAGGCCACAGGGCCTCACACACATGGCTTTCCCAGCCGGGACCACTCTGCTCCATAAATGAACCCTTCTTCTGAGGAGCTTTTGCTCATCCTTCAAGTCCCATAAGATGTCACCTCTTCCCAAAGCATCCCCTCACATCCCTCCCCCTCTCCCCAGATGCTACGTGCACCGTCCCAGCCCTGACCTCCACAAGTTGTTGCTGCCTGTGCATCTGCAGACTCCAGGTTCCTGATGCAGAGCAAGCGCTCAGTTAGCACATGTAGATGCTGGAAGAAAGGAAGGAAGGAAGGGAGGGAGGGAGGGAGGGAGGAAGGAAGGAAGGGAGGAAGGAAGGAAGGGAGGAAAAGAGGAAGGGAGGGAGGGAGGAAGGAAGGAAGGAAGGGAGGAAGGAAGGGAGGAAAAGAGGAAGGAAGGAAGGGAGGAAGGAAGGGAGGGAGGGAGGGAGGGAAGGAAGAATGAAGGAAGGAAGCGAGGAAGGAAGGAAGGAAGGAAGGAAAAGAGGGAGGGAGGAAGGGAGGAAGGAAGGAAGGGAGGGAGGGAAGGAAGAAGGAAGGAAGGAAAAGGGGGAGGGAGGAAGGGAGGGAGGAAGGAAGGGAGGAAAGAAAAGGGGGAGGGGGAGGGAGGGAGGAAGGGAGGGAGGGAGGGAGGGAGGAAGGAAGGAAAGAAAAGAGGAAGGGAGGAAGGAAGGGAGAGATGGGGGAAGGAAGGAAGGGAAAGAGGGAGGAGAGAAGGAAGGAAGGGGGAAGGGAAAGAGGGAGGGAGGAAGGAAGGAAGGAAGGAAGAAAGGAAGGGAGGGAGGGAGGGAGGAAAGAAAAGGGGGAGGGAGGAAGAAAGGAAAGAAAAGAGGGAGGGAGGGAGGGAAGGAGGAAGGAAGGAAGGAAGGAAGGAAGGAAGGAAGGAAGGAAGGAAGGAAGGAAGAAGGGAAAGAGGGAGGAGGGAAGGAAGGGAGGAAGGAAGGAAGGAAGGAAGGAAGGAAGGAAGGAAGGAAGGAAGGAAGGAGGAAGGAAAAGAGGGAGGAAGGGAGGAAGGAAGGAGGGAGGGAGGGAAGGGAGTAGGGAAGGGAAGGAGGGAAGGATGGGGGGATGGGGGGTCTTTAAACGCTTTGGTTACTTGAGATCCACAAGGCGGAGAAAACCCTTTCCCCGGGGCACCGGCCCACCGGGAACCCCCCCCCCCCCGCCCCGCCGCGATGCCACAGCAATACAGGAGCACAGGTTTGGAATCATACAAACTTGAGGTTGAACCCTAAATCTACTACTTACTGACTGTGACACTGGACAAATGACCTCATCTCTCCAAACCTCAGTTTCCTTATCTGTAAAAGGGAGATCATAAAACCTACACTTGGAGTCTTTAACAAAATGCTATGCACAAAGCACCCAGCAAAGGTCCCTGCCTTCCCCGAGAAACCCACTGAGGTTTGCTTGCTGGGAAGCCCACTGAGACTCCCACCCAGGACCTTCCCCTGGGGTGAGGGAAGGAAGCACAAGGGAGTAGCAGGAAGGGACCGGCAAGTAGTCAGAGGAGAAGAGAGAAGAGCTTGGCTCTATGTGAGCTTCTCTCATAGGGAGAGTTTGGGGTCCGTGACCACCTCTGATTCACTCACTCACTCAGGACACATTCATCGGAACCCTGCTGTGTGCCAGGCACTGTGCTGGGTGCTGGGGCAACAACAGGGATCAGGCAGACACAACCCCTGTGCCCATGAAAATTCCAGTTGGAAAAGACTGCAAAATGAAGAATGTGGTGAACAAGGCAATGTGTGGTGGTGATGGGTGCTGTAAGACAGACAGAGGGCTGGGTTTCATTGCTTGCCTGGGCAGAGCCATCAGGGTGGGCCTCTCTGAGAAGGTGGCCCTTGAGCTGAGACCCGGAGGAAGAGAAGCCAGTTACTTGAGGACCAGCAGGGACACAGCCTGGATGTGCTGAGGGGTGGACCTGGGGAGAGTGGGAGCAGGTGCTGGCATGGGAGGAGGCTCTCCACTCTAAGAAATTCGGACTTTAAGGCAATAAAATCCAAGCTCTTATTTATTAATGCTTTTTCTGGGTAATAGAAAATTTCCCAATTTGAAAAAAAAAAAAAAGAAATTTGGACTTAAGTCTCAGTTCGGAAGTGTCTGGTGGAAAGGAGGTTGGAAGCAGAATCGTGGCTATAAGGGGCCCTAGACACAATCTGGCCCAAACCCCACTTTATAGAAGAGGAAACCAAGGTGCAGAGAAATGAGGAAGTTGCCAGAATCACCAGGGATTGCTGTTGGGCCTGATCTCCCGGCTCCCAGACCAAAGACAAGCCCTCCTGCCACCTCTTCTTTCTATGTCTGTTTTAGGCACTGCTGGTCCCACTGGGGCCAGACTCTGGCCCCGGCCTCCTAAGGCCATCTTCCTGTCTGTCCATCTGCCTGTCTGTCAGCCTCTAATGGTCTTTCCCCACCTCCCGACTATATCTTTGGGCCACTCATCTTTCTCCTGCTCCTATTCTAATGATGGATGAAGTTTCAAGATTCCACCGAACAAGCCAACCCATCAAGAGGGAGGGCAGACCACAGTGCCCTCCTGAAGGCCCCCTGCCCACGGAGCTTGGAGCCTTGGGGCTGGATGGCACCCTTCACATCCAGCTCCCCGCTGCCCTTTTACCAGGCCCATGGGCTCCACCGCTGATCTGAGCCAGGCTGTCCCTCCTTAGCAGCCCACCCCTAAACTATCTCACCCCTACGTCTCTTCCTCCAGCAGACAACCTCCCCCTACCTCCCCACAGGCCCTTCCTCCAGTCCATCCCGGCCTGGTGAAAAAAACCTCTGGACTGAGAGTCGACAGCTGCCCCCTCTGGCTTCCTAGAGCTTCCTTAGTCCAACCCATGTCTCCTGCTGCAGAGAAAGTCCATTTTTCCTGGCCGAATCTCTGGCAAAGCTGAGAAGACAGGGTGTCCTCTACTTAGAGATGTGAATCAAGCCTCTGCCTGCCCCCCCCTTCCTGGACTCCCCAGGCATCTACTACCCCAACTCGACTCTGAAGGGGCAGCCCTCAGGACCCAGTCTGGCCACCACCCTCTGGCACATGCCTATGACCTCTCAGTGCCCCTCCCCCAACCCTCTCCATGGTTTTCCCAACTCAGTCAGGGGGTCCAGAGCCCCACCCTCGTCATCAACCCAGTCACATCCTGGGGTTCAGAAGATCCCGCCAGGTTTGCGGCCACAAGGGACTTCCAAAACTGACCTGTCCAACCTCTTCTTTTTTATATCTATTTTTTTGAATTATCAATTACCTACACATATCAAAACAAATCTGAAAAGGAAAGACAGTCATAAAAAAGAAAAAAAAAATCTCTCATAATCCCATCACCAAGAGGTAAAGATTTTGCTGACAGCCTCACTTTATCAGTGGAGAAACAGGCCCAGAGAAGGAAAGTAACTTGCTCAAGGTCACACAGCAAGTGAAATGTTGGGACAAGAAGCCAAGTTTCTGGCCCTTCTCTGTGTGGTCTCTCCAAAACCCGGTGGCTCTGAACCAACAGCCTCTTGCCACATGAGCTTCCTCTGCGCTGGGCCCACATTTCCACCATCAGTACCCTTGCCCACCCTCCTTCTCAGCAGGGACCCAAGCCTTTCTCAGCTACATACAAGGACCGTTAATGTCAAGAAGGCGGTCCCTGACGCTGTGCCTGATGTAGCACACCTCAGAGCTGAAGCAGCCCCAACCACAGCATCTCCCTGGCCAACCTCGTGCCACTGCCCTGTCCCATTTAAAGGACACCTACGTCATTGAGGCATAAAGCTCTGTCTTCCCAATTCTGTCAAGAGGCTGGACTGCAAATTACCCACTTCCCCAACTCCAGGAAAGGTTTGGGTGCCTGAGGAGAAAGGAGGGGCATGGAAAATTGCATGCTGAAAAATGGATCTTTTATAATATGAGAGATTCAAGGTAGACCTCAGAAAGGACTTCCAGGTAGGAGAGATGATCACGGAGAACGGTGTAGGGGAGAGGAGTGTGCAAATAGGAGCCCCCCACTATCCAGAGCCAGAGCAACTAATGACCAAAGTCCACAAGGACAGCACAGCACGAATGACAGGAGGACCCTGAGGGCTGGGGGCTGGGGGAGCAGCGAGTCGCTTCTTGGTGGCCCCAGGACTGTTCTCCAGGATCCAAACAGGGAGAGGAAGGCTGCTAGCAGGCCAGGCTGCTACAGAGCTTCCTGTGGGAGAGATGCTAGGTCTCCACCATCCCCCTGACTGCTCCCACCCAGCCCCCAAAACTGACTCAGAACCCAACCTGGGTCAGGTTGGGGACGGGGGTGGGGGGAGGTGGGGCAGGGAAGAGAAAGAGGAGGCTAAGCTGGGGCAGGAGGCACCCCAGGCTCCCATCTCATCAGAATTCATCCTCCTTCACTGTGGCCAGGGGTCCTTACGACTCCCCCACTGTCCTGTTTGGGGCCAGAGCCACTGCTCTATGTAGCCCCCTCTGCTGGGGTCCCTCCAGTGTCCTTCCAGGAGGAAAGAATTGGGGGTATCAATGTCTGCCGCCTTTACTCTCACACATCCTGTGTGTTTAAAGAAAGTGAGTGGGACCCTGTCCACCTGCCACAGCCCACAGAGCCCCTGGCCCCCCGCGGACAGTCCCCCCACCTCACCAGCAGCCCGACAGCACCAGCCCGGGGGTACTTGCCCGTGCCCACGCCTGCCTGCCTGCCCCCTCCCCTCCTGCAGCGCCCCCCACCCCCACCCCCGACCAACTCCGGCCAGTCCTACCTGCTCCGGGCGGGGGGCTCAGCGCCCGGGCAGCCTCCCTGAGCACCAGCACCAGGAGCCAGAGCTCTGCCCGCATGGTGGGTGCCAGGACCCGCCCCCGGCCCGCTGCGGCCCGGGCCCCGGCGAGGGAGGGGCCGGGCTTGGGCGGCTCGGTCCCCGGGGCTGGCGGGCGGAGGAGTGGGTGGCGAGCAGGCGGCGGAGCGCGGGGCCCGGCGGAGCGGCGCGGGCGCGGGCGCGGGCGCGGGCGGGCAGCGAGCAAGCGGAGCGGCGGCCTCCCGGAGCGCGGGAGCGGAGGGGGCGGGGCGGGGGGGCGCGGCGCCTCCTGAGCGCTCCCCCAGTCTTCCCCGGTCCTCCCAGCCCTCCCGGAGCACTCCCACGGCGGGGGCAGGGGGGTGTTGGGGGGGTGGCTGGGGGCGGAGTAGGGGACGGGGCGGGGGACCCCGGGCTGGGAGAAGCCCTGGAGAGCATCTGCGGACTCCCACCTCGCACCTTAGCTCCTGCCCCCCTTCCCCTCCTCCACTCCCGTGGGAAAGCCGGGGAGACCAAACCCTGGTGGGAGGTGCACACCCCAGGAAGGGACAGGCCGCCCCTTTTCTGGAACGATGGACTCCTGCCATACCGACCCCCCAAGCTCTACCAGGCTTCCCGACTTTCTGGGCTGTTCCTCGGAGTTCTGTGGGTTTCTGATGCCCATCCCCACCCCAGGAATCTCCCTTTGTAGCAGAGGCCCCCCCAGCTTCTCTCACCAGCACAGGCCCGAATTTCACCCACTCCCACCCCCATGGCTCCCCCTCCCCCTTCACTCCCCATTTCCAGCACCGTCTTGCCCACCAGCCCAGCAGACGGGGAGGGGGGTGGGGGTGGAAGCGCCTGGTTCACCCCTACTTTAAAAGAGCCTGCACCCCCCCCCTCACCCCCCACAGGAGGTAGCCGAGGCCACCCTTCTCTCTGGGGCCCCAAGCCTGCTCAGGGTCCCAATCAATCTTCAAAGCCAGCCCCATAGCAAGAAGACGTCTCATCCCACCTGCCAGACTTATGACAGACTCTGGGGACAGATCACCGTTTTTTTTCTTCCAGGACAGAATAAAAATACCTGCAATTTAGGAGATTTAATAGCGGGGAATCAGGTCAGGACACGGAGGTGTCTCATCCCTCCCCTGACCTACTTTGTGCGATGCCAAGGAGCTGGAGCACTGGGGGGTGGGCGAGTGAGGGGTAAGGGGCTTCTGGTTTCTGCCGTGGCCTAGGGACTGGACACTCGCCGACCGGTAGGGTATGGACGCTGAGTGCCCTTGGGGGAATTCCCCAGAAGAGGGATACGCCTGGGGACAGGAGAAGGAACAGCGTGGGCTGGAAGTGGGGGGTTCCCTGACACTGAGGCCAGATAAGGGACCTGAGAAGGAAACGAGAACGAAAGGCCCCCTAATCTCTCGGAATCCCAGTTCCTCCTTCTTCTGGATTCAGGGTCCCAGAAACAACCTCCTCCAGCCCTGAATTCTTTAACCCCTTACAATGGGAAAAGGTAAGTAAGACCTGTCTATAAGTTCTTCTCGTTGTCTAATTCAAAATCCCAATTTTGCCTCCTCTCAAATGGGAATAGGCCTCCGCCTCCAGCTGCGGCTTCTTGCTGCCCTCTTGTGGCCACGCGGCGAGCCGCGGTCTGTCTTCAAGGTTTCTTTTAAGGGCTCAGGCTGAAAACAGCAGCTTGGAAAAAATTAGAAGCGAGCGAAGGGAATTTTTTTAATGTAAGCCTCAGGATCTTGAGTGCACATCAGAATCACCTGGAGGGCTTATTAAAATACAAATTTCTGGAAGCCACCCCCAAGTTTCTAATTCAAGAAATCGAAAATCTGCGTTTCCAGCACCCTCCCAGGTGGTGGTGCTGGTCCGGGGACCACATTTTAAGAATCATAGCTTGAGAATTCCCGCTTTTTGCGCTCTCTCGTCTTTCTTGCACCGATTGTCGTCTTCCCAGAAGAAGGATGGCAAAGGAAATGTCAGCATAAAATTGTGGAAGGGGGGAGCGTAAGGATTTAAATAAAATCGGAGAGGTTCACAAGAACCCTGTGGTGCATGAAAACAGACGCCAAGGGGGCACCCGGATTTGAACCGGGGACCTCTTGATCTGCAGTCAAATGCTCTACCACTGAGCTATACCCCCTCTGCTGGTGTCTTGGCGCGGTAGTCTCTTAGTGCTACTGCTGCGCAGGCGCTTTGATGAGTTTGCGAAAAGAAGTGGGATCCGAAAAGTTGTGCAGGATGTCGATCTCAAAAGATTACTCTCCTGGACGCAAAACTTGCTTCCCGAAACTCTGAGCTAAGGATTTCTACTGACAGTGTAAGAAAAATGCAGTTTGGGAATGTGGGAGGGGAAATCCCTCGAGATCGTTCGAGAGCCTTCGATTCGGGGACATTCTCTTGCTCGGGGTTCCCCGTTTCCTGCCCCGTACAGCTCCTTTACTGCTTCTCTTTCCGTCCCGCCCGCTCAGGCGCGCTTCTCTGGGCCTTCCTTGCCCAGCCCAAGTCTGGCCCTTAGATACTCGGCCTCCCTCCCCGGGAAGAGCCGTCGGGTCACTGGCCAGGCGGACCTGCGGTTACGCCCGTCTCAGCCCTAGCACTACCGAGGGGGCCGTCGGTACCGTCCACCTAGGCTTAAGCTAGAGCTCCTTGCCCTCGCACTGCATCCCGCTAGTCGGCACACGCGAGCTGAGTGAGTGAATCTGCGGGGCCGGGACTGCCTCGTCGCCTGCCTGCAAAAGGAGGTAGTAGGGCCCCGCGTTGCGTCCCTTCTTCCTCGCTAGGGCACTTTGAGAGGTGGACTGCAGAACAAAGAAAACACGAAAAGCCAGGTATGGAGAGGGGGCACCCGGATTTGAACCGGGGACCTCTTGATCTGCAGTCAAATGCTCTACCACTGAGCTATACCCCCAACACGCCATCACTGTCTTGTTAGAATAAATTTCTGTAGTATAAGGAAGTATTAAATTATGCTGCTAAGTGCTCTGCCAAAACGATCTAATGGAAAGAGCAGAGAATCTGAATGGGGATGGCTAGGATTGCTTAGTTCTTCCTTCATAATCACACCTCAGGAAAACCACAGGGTTAAGGAATCCTGGGCTGTCTATAACTGTCCAGACTGCCCCAAGATGTCCACTGCTTGACTTGGGAAGGAAAGAGGCACACGGACTCCAGGAGCATCCCAGACTTTGTGGGGCAAGAGCACTGCTCCTTGTACACAGATTGACAGCCTGGGTTTCCATCCTGTCTCCAGCTCTACCTAGATGGGACTCCTGGGCTTTTCTAATCCCTAAGGGCCACTGCTCCCCTCCCTCATGAGTCAGCATCAAGTCACCCTCACCCCCTAGACCCAGGTACAGCCGAAAGCTCCCAGTCCTGGCAAGCCACGTGTCAGTTACCTGGCAGAGGGTGGTAGAGCCCACGACCAAAGAGCCAGCCAGTCCTCTGGACAGATGGACCTTAAGGCACCATCCCTCCATTTCCAAGGAAGATTTCCCCCTACCTGATAGCCCTGTACAAAAACCAAAAGCCAGTTTGAAGCACAGGTAGAAGGAGCTAGCAGAAATAAGAGGTGGGCAGTTTTCACTGGCATTTATTACACTTTTGTAAAAATTCTAAAGCCATGTGGGAAAAAATCATTACAAAAGATGGTCAAGATGAGCACCCTGTAGGAATCGGGGAAATTTGGGAGGAGTGGGATTCACATTGGAAGGGCTGGGAATGAAGGGCGTACGATGAGATGGCTGAACGCTCAAAAGCTGTGGTCAGAGCCAGCATCTCAGAGGAAACAGAGAGGCCTGGGAGGAGTGGAACTCCCCGCCATGCAAGGGACTATCCCTGTCTGGGGTGTCCCGCCCTCCTCCCTCTCCCTTCCCACCAGTGTTTGGCTTTGGTGTCCTTCCCCAGAGCCTGCCCCTTCACCTCTCTGGAATCTCCTTTGCTCAAAGGTGGCTGAGGGAGAGCTGGGATAGGAGCCAGGGGCGAGGGGCGGGGTTCTAAGAAATAAAGAGCAATTCCAGGGGTCTCTTACTTTGGCCCCCATTTCTTTTTTCAAAGAGGTTGCAGGCGGAGGGGACTGGGCTCCACATTCTAGTCCCTCAACATGTCCAACAGCTTGCCTGGTGAGTCCAAGGACACCTACTTCCATGGAGTGAAGGACACCTACTTCCATGCAGCTTTTCTGCTGTCCTGTCTGCAGCAATTCAGGGCGTTTCGGCTAGCTCACACGGTTGAGGGGACTGTGACAATCTCACTTCACTGTCCAAAGCTGACCCAGCTCCCATCAGAGAATCGTAGAAAAGTAATAGTCACTTGGGTTTTCTACCCACGTAGTCCAAGCAAATGGCCGCAGACTGGGACATCAGTTGGCAGTGGTTTGGGACTTCATCCACTGGAGCCCCTCGGGCAGCCTGCAAGGAGGGTGGAACAGGGCAACGATCAGCATATCCTGCGAGGATGACGGGCTCTGAGCCCCCCGCCCCTACCAGAGCTGATTGAGGGGACAACCAATGTCCCATCCAATCTCTCAATCAACGAGTATAAATGGACTGAGTACCTCAGGTGCCATGCTAGGGGTTGGGGTTACTGGTGAAGAAACCAGACGTGCCCTCTGGAGTCTACAGTCTCGCAGAGGAGATGGTTGTGAGTTGGGGGAGGAGGGTGGCCAGGACACTATCAGAAATGTGTGGCTTCATGGGGTGCCTGGGTAGCTCAGTCAGTTAAGTGTCCGACTCTGGTTCAGGTCATCATCTCGCTGTTAGTGGATTCGAGCCCCACGTCAGGCTCTGTGCCGACTGCTAGCTCAGAGCCTGGAGACTGTCCTTGGATTCTGTGTCTCTCTCTGACACTCCCCTGCTCTCTCTCTCTCTCTCTCTCTCTCTCAAAAATAAAACATTACAAAAATTTAAAAAGGAAAAAAAAGAAATGTGTGGTTCCTTGGGCGACCTGCCTCAAGTCTCCAGGTACCTGGGTCCCCAGCCTGCTGTGATCCCACTTGAGAGAGAAAAGAGAATTTTCCAGGCCTGACTGTGACCTAGCTCCTTTACATCCTTCATGATTTACTCAGCAGCTACTTTCTCAGTGGCCCTTCCTTGGCACCTTATCTAAAATGCAACATTTGCCCACATACTTTCAATCTCCTTTGCCTACCTGATCTTTTGCCAGCACTTAACACTTTCTATCTCACTATATATTTTTCTTATTTTTATTATGTATTGTCTGCCCCCTCCCACGAGGGCGGGGGCTTTTGTGGTTTGTTTGCTGCTGTTTCTCTGATGCCTAGAAAAGTGCCTGGCACAAACCCAGAGCTCGATAAATGTTGAATGTTGATGCCACTCACTCTCGCCGGGAACTCACAGAGGGAGTAGGTATAATCACCCTCCTCTTTACAGATAAGAAAACTCAAGGTCAGAAAGACTCAGCAACTTCTGCCTGGAAGGCTTCCCCCCAGGTATTCCCACGGCTTTGGCTGTCGCAGCCCAAAGGTCATGTCCTAATCGAGGGTGTCCCTGACCACCAGAGCTCAATCAGACCCAACCCGGCCCCATCTATCGCTGTTAATCCAATTTCACTTTATTCAAAGCACCTCTCTGTACCTAAGATGTCTGTGCTCGGGCGGAGTGTCGTCTCTCTTTCAGAATCAGCCTGAAAAGAGGCGCTCTGCCCTGCTCACTGCTCACCCACTGCCTCTCAACTGTGGGTGGGTGCTCGACTGACTTGGCCCAGGAGCCAAGCGTGAGCCAGACCCTGACAGGAGAGAAACAAGAGAAGGTTCTGATGGTCAGCTGTCTGTTGGTTGAGCCGGACCCTGGAAGTACAGGTGGGGGGCGGCCACTAACCCTTCCCCAGTGAGGGCACAGCAGCCTTGTATGTGCCACGGGTGGTCTTTGATGGCACTGAGAGTGAGGAATTGAGAGATCTCCACGGTGGTCATGGAGTCCTTCATATCCTGCTTGTTGGCAAAGATGAGAACGGAAGCATCTCGCAGAGCCTGTGGACAGAGGAGCCGGGCGCCAGTCAGCCTGTGGGAGACGCAATGCCCAGGTGGGACACGGATAGGGCAGCCACATCAAATGGAAGCAGCCACATCCATTGACACCGACAGCATCTGGAATGCCTCCCAAGCGCCTCAGAGGATCCCTGCAGTCCCATGAGGAAATAATTTGGTGATCCTCTCCATTTCATACTTGGGAAAACTGAGGATAAGAAAGGTGAAGTGACCTGTTGGGGGTGGGGGTGGGGGGATGTCCCACAATGAAAGAGAAGTGAGGTCAGGACCTCAACGAGCAACTCTGGCTTCTGTGACCCAGTCGTGCTGAGGGCATTAGTGCTCTTCAGGCTGCTGGGGTAGAGGCTCTCAGAGACTGGGGGATCAGGAATGAAGCTCAGAGAGGCTAAGTGAGTAGGCTGAAGTCACACAGCTAGTACACTGGGCTCTCTCCCAACCTCAGGGGCCTTACCTCATGGGCCAGCATTCTGTATAGCTCCTCCCGAGTGGTCAGCAGCCGATCCCGGTCCGTGCTGTCAATCACAAGGATGATGAACTGGCCGGAGGAGGGGAACGGTGAGTGGCGGGCTTTCCCTCTCATGAACAGGTCTCCTGCCCCCTGCGCTCCCAGACTGGCCTCTGCACCTCCCTGATGTAAGCCCCACAGAGAACTGGTCTGGTCTCAAGCTCTCCCTGCTCTGGTTCCATTTTAACTCCCTTTTCCATCCGGGCAGTGGGGGGACACGGCACGACCTCCGTATGCCAGGGGCGGTGCCAAGCCCTGCACATTCACGACTCCAGGGGGGTCCCCCGTGCAACTGGAAACATGATGATCCCCATTTATAAATAAGGAGACGCATTCAGCTGCTTGGCCGCTCTCGCTCTACGACATACAGCTGGTGAGCGGCAGTGCTGGAGGCCACAGTCTGTCTCTGCCTGGCCCCCTCCAGGAAGGAAACCACCGAATTCTACTGCTGCCAGAGGAAGAAAGTAAGGCCGCTGGAGACCAGGGGCCCACCCCATGCAGCGCCTCATACAGAAAGCTGCCAGCAAGCAGACAGAGCTGCCAAGAAGTATTCAAAAATGTTAACGGAACACTGTGCCGCATTATTTGTTGGTTATTATTTAAATTTCACAATTGGGGGAAGTCATTATTACAGTCTCCACCTCACAGAGTGGGGGAAGCAAGGCTCAGAGAGGCTAAGTGACTGGCGCACATCACACAGCCACCTCGACGGCCCCTTCCAGCCCCAACACTCTCCTCACCTCAGTGTTGGAGTAGTACGTGTTCCAGGTAGAGCGCAGCGCCTCCTGTCCCCCTATGTCCCACATGAGGAAGTGTGTCTTTCGCAGAACAATCTCCTCCACATTGCTACCGATGGTGGGAGATGTGTGGACCACCTCGTTCATCAGGCTGGGGAGGGAGGAGAGGACATCAAGGGCTCGGCCCATTCTGTTCCCTCTGCTCCCAAGTCTGGCTGAATCAAGCTCAGAACAGCTCAGCCCGGGTTGACCAAGCCTCTGGGCACAGGGGAGTGCAGGCAGGAGCAGACCAAGTCTTGCCCCTGGCGCAGACCCGAGAGATGGGAATCTAATTAGAGCAGCGTCCCCAAACTTTAATATGCGGTTGAATCGCCTGGGAATCTCGTGAAAATGCAGATTCTGATCCGATGAGTCTAGGCAGGGGCCCAGTGTTTTGCATTTCTAACAAGCTCCCAGTTGGTCTGCTGGTCTGTGGACCACTCTTTGAGTAGCAAGGTATTGGGAAAAGGAGACAGATAAAGTGAAGGCCATCAGAGAGGTGCTTTAACATAGAAAACACGGTTTTATATAGGAAGTGAAAAGCTTACTTTTCTCCGTATGCGCGTGTACTGTTTGATTTTCTCTTTTCTTCTGGTTTAAAATGATCATTTACACACACTACTTTTTCAGGAGAAAATCTTTCTAAGTAAATACTCCGGAGTCTCCAAAGGGGAGAGATGCCCTCCGGAGCCTGCATATTGGGAAAAGCTCCGATGGATAATTACTCAGCACTCATGTCCGCCTCAGCTGGATCGGGAGCCACGGAGCTCAGCCAGACTCCAAGCCGGCCCTCCCCTTTGGGTGTGAAGAAGGGGACAAAGTTGGGAGGCAAAGGTGCTGTGCCCGAGTTAGAAAGGAGGGACCGGCCGCTAGGGGGAGCGAAGCGCAGGGAGGCGGGAAGAGAAGTCCGCCTCTGACAGTTTCAGGGCTGCAACCCGGTCTGGTAGGTTCAGAGGGGTGTATGGCGGGGAGCACCGGGTTGCCCATACCGGGCAGGATTCGAATCCCAGGCGAGGGGCCACAGATCTGAAGGGTCACTGTACCAGGAAGGTTCCACCAGCGTCCGCTCTCCCCACTCTTCCTCGCTACAGGAAAGAACCGGGAACCCAGGGAAGGGCTCCTTGGTGATTGCTGATTGGTCCAAATGTCTGTCAGTCTAGTGGAAAGATCCAACCCCTCCCCACCTCTTTCCATCAGAGGGTCACTTACAGCTGGTAGAGAATGGTGGTCTTTCCCGCATTGTCCAGTCCCACGATGATAACCTTGTGCTCTGGAGTCATCCAGGGGGAAGGACAAGGTCAGGGCCAGACTCCAATAACCAAGGGACTGTGTTCCCCGCCGGGCTTCCCCAGACGGAGACGGAGCGGGCCGGGAGACTTCTGCCCACGGTACCACTTCTGCTCCCCTCCCCCCCCCCCCCCCCCCCCACAAAACCAACCGGACAGGTTTGCTTCCCACCCAGTCCCGGACACCCGCGCCACTCCCAGACAGTGGAGAGGAGAGCTGAGCGCCACCTCCTTCGCTCCGTATTTCCAGAGATATGGTCGTCCGAAAGGTCAGGGGCCCCCTGGGCTTGCCAAGAGAAAGGGTCTGGGGAAAGAGCCGAGCGCGAAGTCACCATCGCAGGAAACCGGCGGCGGCTTTTAGCCAGGATGAAGGAGGCTTGCCCAGCCCTGCGACCTGGGGTGCACCTTAGCGCACGACCCTCGAAGAGCGGGGTGGGGGAGGGGGCAGGCGAGATCGCGGAATCTGCAAGAAGTGCCCACGCAGGACCTCGGAGCCCAAGGTCCCCCAGAGCATCCTCCCCGACCCCAGACTGGGGGAGCCCCAGTTGGGAGCCGGATCAAAGCGGTCGCTTGAATGCACTGTGCGCCCTTTACCCTGGTTCCCGAAGGTGCTCATCAGTTTGGCGATCAGTAGTCCCATGGCGGTTCCAGGCCGGAGAGGGGCCAAGACTCAGCGACCTTTGGGGACCTGGGTCGAGCCAGGGTGCTTGCAGCCCCGCCCCCCGGGGGGGGGCAAGTTTTGCCTATGAGTTCAGGAAGTCCCACGAGTCACCTGAGGGGCCAGGGAATCCCCTGGGACGCCAGCCCCGGGCTATGTATATCATGATGGTGAGGAACAAGCTACTTGTCTAGAGCCCTAGAGGTCAAGGAAAACAGGGTCCAGACTCCACATCCTCCCCTTTGTCCTGAGAAGACTCCAGAGGTTCTCTGGGTGAACTGCTCCCCCACTGCATCTCAAGGATGCTTACCACAGCGACCCACTACCAGGCCCCAACTCTCCCTTCTCCAAGTGCCATGTCTGGGGCACTAGACTGAGGCAAAACCCTACTTGCTGCACCTGCCAGCTATGAGGATCAGAGGGCTCACTGATCCTCTCTGAGATGGGAGAATATTCCAACTCTCAACACATCTCTCTCTAGTGGTTTCACTAGTGTGGGTCTGTCTTGTGATTCCCTCAGGGAAGGGCAGGGTCTCCAGAGTCCCTTGGTGATAGGCAACTTCTAGAAATAAATCAGTACCGCTTCTATGATTCATTGGCAAACTGACTGCTCAGGCACAGCTCCCAGGTCCGGAGGGATGGAGGGGGGTTGGACATCTGAAGATAGGGATGGAGCATAGAGAGAGAGCTCACAGCCAGAGACCGTATAAAGGGGCACCAGATACTAAGAGCTAGCAGAGAGACCCTGGGCCAAGAGGGAGCCAGGCTAGAGAAGAAGAGGAAGGAGGAGACTTTTATTGTTATGTATGTCCTTCTTTCCTTAAACTGTGAAAAACCAGAAAACAAAAAGAGAAGTGAGGAAGGCAAACCAACCCAGGCTGAGGGGAGCAGTTAGTTGAGGTCAGTTACCACACAGGAGAATCGACTCCTGTGCCACGGCCACTGCCCATTAGTGCTCCCCTTTGCTAGGGGAACAGCCTCTAACGCATCTCCTCTCCTCTGCCTCCCTCTGCCTCAGCATAGCCCTATTCACCTTCGTAAAGCACAGTTCAGATGATTCCCTGTTGCCCACTGGCTTCAGATCAGTCTCCTCACCCGACATTCAAGAACCTCCGTGAACAGCCCTCACCTGCCTTTGCAGGTGATCTCCTGTGTCCTGCATCTGCTGGTCGTTGCCCGCTATGCCCAGCCCCTTCCAACTCAGCTTTTGCTTCTGTGTTTCCTCCACCTGAACACTTTCACCCTCCTAGAAAGGTAGACTTCTAAAACCTATTAGCCAATCCGTGGTTTGGTTCTCCAGACAAATGGGGCTTCTCTTTAGCCTGAGATTGTAGACTGGCCGATTTTTGTGCCAATCAACTGTGAGACCTAGAGGGTGGGGTTCATGTCTCGTCCACCTGTGTTCTCCCCACTCCCTGCCTGGTCCCATGCCTGGCACACAGTAAAAACGTGTTGCTATTGAAGTACAGTGAGTGATGCTATAGCTTGAGAGATGGTGTTTTGAACATTTAAAGAGAGGTGTGAGCACAAGTTGAAGAGGAATGAGGAAGGATGGGAAGTTCATGGAGAGAAGAGGGAAAACAGTTGGCTAAATAAGGAATTTTCATCCCACCCCGCCTTGGTGCCTGGAGTTAGAAGGAAGGAGAATTGACTACCAGAGCCCATTTCAGCCCCAGGAAAGCAGCGCGAGTGTGATGTCGGGGGCGGGGTGGGTAGCAGGGGGGTGGGGGAGGGACACAGAAGGGTACTGGGGGAAGCAGCAATATTTTAAGTCCTTTTACCATCTGTTTCCGGCGGGGGGTGGGAGGAGGAACCTCTTAGTGCATCTGCCCCCCGCCCCCCACTACCACCACCAAATTGCAGAATTGAAAGTGACATTCTGCTAGCTGGAACACATTCAGTAAACAGACGAGGGCTGCTTCTGCTGTGAGCCTAGGGCCTCGGTCTTAGGGGGCATTCATTCATTCACTTATCTGACAAATGAGTCAGGAGTTAGGAAACATGCCAGACCCGGTCTGGCTCTTTTGGAGCTGATGGTCTAGTGGGAGAGAGAAATGTACACACCAAAAAACCAAAAACAAAACCAAGCCCTGAGAGACAGGAGGTAGGAGGGCCTGACTTAGAAAGGAGTCATGGCTCACTTTTCTGAGGATGTGATTATTGGCACTAAGACAAGATTTTCCTCTAGGGTACCAGCTGGAACACCCCTTGCTCCCTAGCCGTGGAAGTCCCAGCTCAGCTCCCTTGATTTTTTGGCAGGTGGAAACCTTCAGCCACACCAGGACTCACTGTGGACAGAAGCTACTGGTCAACGAAGGAGATGAGGGATCCCAGATGGGGGGGGGGTCCCCAGCACCTCAGTTCCCCACTCCCTGAGGGGGGTGTGGTGGTAGCACCAGCCTCTATCGACCTCATCCCAACCAACTTCATGGTTGTTGAAATCCTCACATGTTGGGGCGCCTGGGTGGCTCAGTCGGTTAAATGGCCGACTTCGGCTCAGGTCATGATCTCACAGTTTATGAGTTCAAGCCCCGCGTCGGGCTCTGTGCTGACAGCTCGGAGCCTGGAGCCTGCTTCAAATTCTGTGTCTCCGTCTCTCTCTGACCCTCCTCCACTCGCACTCTGTGTCTCTCTGTCTCAAAAATAAGTAAACATTAAAAAAAATCTTCACATGTTGACAGCCACCACCGTGCTGAAGGTACATCAGCTGGGGGCTTGTGGTTACCTAAAGACACGAATCTCTCTTTCTTCATCTCTCACTATCTCCAAGCCACCTAGAAATGGCCCCATCTGCAAGTTCCGGGCAAAGGCAATTTCAGGCAGCAGGCACATGAAGAGAAGACAAACATATTCAGACACCTGCTTCCTCCTCTCCTCGCAGAAGCTGGATCAGGGGGATGAGCACTAGATTTGGGGCTCACAGGCACCACAGAACTTGAACTCCAAAGATCTGAATTCAAGTCCTTGCTCCGTACCTGTGCAGCTACGGACAAGCTGCTGAGCACCAGTGAGCTTTATCGGCAAACTGAAGTTAAGCATCCCTGCCATTGATTCAAAATATCAGCCTCCACCCCTAGATGGAGCTCTCTGCAGTTCCCTGATTCTCCAGACCAAGCACCCAGCTGTCTTCCGCTCTTCCCCTCTTGGATGTCCTCTGGTGGGCACCGTAAACCCACCTTGTCCAAAACTAGACATCATTTCTGCTTCTAACCCTGTTCTTTCCCTTGCTTCCTCTATGTCTGGGAAGACTGTCACCCAGAGTCACCCCCTGATGCCTTCCCCTCTCTCTCCGGCCACCTCCAATTGCTCTCTGAGAGCTCTCCATTCTAACTGCTAGATGGGGGCTCCTTTCCCATTCCATTGTTGGGGCCTAATGCAACCCCTCTCCCCATTTCTTACCTGGTGTATTGTAGCTGTTTCCAGGGTAGGCCCTCCAACCTGTGCTCCAATCTATAACTGAGGCAACTTTGCCATTGCTACTTACAACCCTTCCCTTTCTGCACGCCAGCTTCAGGACAAAGCCCAAACTCTTTGACATGACTCAAGGCCTCCCGGAACCTGGTTCTGCCGACCCCTCCCTGACCACCACCTTGAAAGCACACTTTGCCTGCGGAGTGCCAAGAATACGCCATGCATGTCACCTGCTTCCTCTGTCTTAAACACTTCCCCCCAGGTTAACTCCCCATCAGTCTGCTAGGCTCCACTCAAGCCTCACCTCCTCTGAGAAGCCTCCCCTGTCCTCCCCAGGTTAAGAGAACTACCCTTCTTCCAGGTTCCCACAGAACCCAGTGCTTCTCACAGCAGAGAGCTCATCATGCTGTCCTGAATCGTCTGTGGCTCCCTCTTAGACCTGGGCTTGGCACTTGGTAGGTGCTCAGCAAATATTCAGAAAGGAGTAAAAGATTGATTCCATCGAAAGGCAGTGGATTAAGAGAGCTAGGCTGGGACACAGAGACTGGACTCCAATCCCAGCAGTCTTTGCCATCAACTCCCTGGGACCTTGGACCAGCCACTTGACCTGTGGATCCACCCAGTTCCTTTCCTTGGGTCTGTTAACCCTTCACCTGGAAGACCTATATGTCTGTTGCCCTACACACACACACACACACACACTTTGGGCAGAAGCATTCAGACAAGGGGCCCAGGACCTCTAGTTCCCCAGGCCCACCACCCCAGAAACAAGAACCAGGAGAATGGACGAATGTCACCTGCTGACTTTGTCACTCTTGATGTTCTCAGACTGGGGCTGGGGAAGCCCCTGTTCTCTCTCCGCTCCCCCCTCCCAAGTAGACCTCTTCCCCTCCCCCAACGCTGGCTAGCAGGGCACCAGTGGACAAGGGGCCGGTAGGAAGTCAGCCACTCTCTCTCAGGTGTTGGGAAGCAGCAGAGGCCATGGGAACAGAAAAACGACCACATGCCCCGAAGACATCGTGCCAGTGGGTCTGGATCTTATCCACTGAGGGATGCCCGCGACACCCCATTTCCCCACCTCAGCTTCCCATTTTTTCCAGCTCTACCTATGGGGAAACAGGCCAGACTTGGGGCTGGCTGAATGGGAAGGTGAAACTGGCCACACAGCTCCCATCGAGCTTGACCATAATGCATCAGAGCCACAGAACAAAGTGCTCTCTCTCCTGTTGAGCAAACGACTTGGGGCACAGCTCATTCCTGTGCCCACCCCTTCCTATCCCCCTGCATGTGGGCAGCTCCCATAGGCCCAGGCTGGCCACCGTGCGGCAGGAACAACAAAAAAAAAAAAAGCAGGCTCGGGAGGTGGCCGCAAAGGACACGACGGCGGTTTTATATGTGGCAAAATACTTCTAGGGGAGTACAGACAGACAGACAGACAGATGGGGGCACAGGACACCAGACAGGGAGGGAGGAAGGTTGGGCAGTGGTGTCTTCTAACCAGTAAGTGGAAGCTGCTCCCCAACCCAGGTGGGGGGTGGGGCAACATTGGCACAGGAGGTGGCGAGACAGGCATGAGGTGCCCATCCCTGAGGCGGGCAGCCGGGCAGGACCCAGTCCTCGTTGGCACAATCGGCTCTCTCTGGCCCAGCTGGGTGCTGGAGAGGGGCAGGGCTGCTGGGCTGGAGGGATGCTAGGCAAAGGGACACTCTGGGGCAGAGGGGGTACCCAGGCCTCTCCTAGAGGGAGTGGACACGGGTGAAGGACAGGGTCACAAGAGGCAAATCCAAAGCAGCGGCGACAGCAGCAGCCAAGCCCCGCAGGGGAGATCCGAGGTCCCGAGGCAACCACTGGGGTGGCGATCACCTCTCGGGCACCAACCCACAGGGCCTCTCCCCTGGGGCCTCCGGGTGAGAGTGAGGGAGCAGTTTTTTGGTTTCAAAATGAGGCGGACTAGAGTGTTCATGGGTGCCACACCCAGGTGAAACAGGGTGAGGGGCTCAGACGCGGAGGGGCCCCCTCTTCTGATGGCAGTAGGCAAAGGATGTTGTAGGCAAAGCTCATTCCCGGGATAGGTGAAGGCTGAGGCATGGAAGCGGTGGGGTGGGGGGCAGTGTCTCTGGCTGCCCACACCTCAGGGGTCTAGTTCCTGGGCAGGCAGAGGGCACTACATCTGATGCCTGCCGCTTTCTACCCAGACCCCTCCCCAGGACAAACTCTCCGTGGGGCTTCCATCCCACAGCTTTCACCCACCAGACAATGCTGCCAGGAAGCTGGGGGAGGGGTGGGCATGGTAAAGGACCCTGGATCTGGGGCTTGGGGGAGAGAGCCCTCATGGGAGAGAGTCTGTGGTCTCCCTCTCCAGGAAAAGCCCCCCACCCTTCCCAAGTACTCCAGGTTGGGGAAAGAAAGGGCTACCCCATTTAGGACCCTTGTTTAGAGCCCCAAGAAGAAAGAGTTAAGGAAGTGCACCTTTTCTCTGGAAGTGAGGGGATAAAGCCCCCTGATGTGGGGAAAAAGGGACACTGAAAGGTGGGCATTCCCCTATCCGTCCACAGCAAGTAAGTGAAAAACCTACAGGTGTGGCTTAATCACCTTAGATCCCCCAGGAGGTGGGATCTACCAACAAAGAAACCCCCCAAATCGAGCAAAGGCATCTGAAAGGAGGGAGACAGCGCCCCCTGGAGGAAAGATACATCCCCGTGGTGAGCCCCTCTGTCCCTCCCCTCTCCGGGGCTCGGAGCCCTGCCCCCCACTGTGTGGCCCCTGCTTCTCAGCGGATGTAGACACCTCGCCCCCAGCCTTCCAGCTCATTCTTGTTGCGCCCCAAAACCGGACCCCCACCCTCTGCGCAGTAGCGGGCCTTATTCCGGCCGCGGTTCCGGTTGTCGGTCAGCTCCTCTTCGTAGTCTTCTTCCTCATCCTCCCAGGATCCCTGCCGGGCTGGTGAGGTGCTGCCCCCTGCAGGGTCTCCAAGCCCTGGGCCCTCGGAGGGGTCAGTTTCCATGTCCACACATGAGTCTCCCAGCTCCGTGTAGGCAGAGTTTCGGTTGCCAGAGGTGTCGGCATCAAACGTGTCTTGACGAGACAGTGCCCGCAGGGTGCCCGCCCGACCTGGTGGGTGGCTGCTGGGATAAAGGCCTGGGGGCTGGCCCAGCTCCCCCGGGTACTCGTGCACGCTGGCGTGCTCCCCGGTGGCACGTTCCAGCGACTGGTCCCCGGAAGCAAGGTAGGGTCCCTGGTTAGCAGACGGACGGCACACACCATGCAGATCAGGCAGGGGTGAGAGAGACACAACAAAGCAACGCAGGTTAGTAATGGCACCAACATATTCAGCCTGGTTAAAGGAGGTGGGTACTGGCTCTAGGGGATGGGCAGCCAGGCAAATGGCTCGACAGCCCAGCCAGAGGACAGACCTCAGGGCATTTGCTCCTCTACCGGGACAGGAGGCCTGCAACATTCATAAGGCATGAAGAGGCATGAGCTCTTCTGGTAACCATGGTAGAGAGCCCACGAACAATTAGTCATTGCTTCTTCAACACACGTTATTAATGCCGTCTTGGGCTAAATCATCATTAACAGCTCATTAGTATCGCCACTTGTTAGTGGTTGATTGGGTTAGTCACTGCCCCAGTTTTCCAAATATACGAAGGGGATTTCAGCTCAGAGCTCACTACCCCCGGCTCCTTCAGCCCAAATCAGACCCTAACCGCAGGCACCCAGGGCCCCACACTCCCCCCTATCCATTCCCTAGTCAGATAACAAACTTTCCAAGGCTGGTGGGATTCCCCGGGTGCCCCCAGCAAAGACCAGGGCAGCAGGCTGGAGAAAGCTGATGGGTGTCTATCTCCCACTAGCGACAATGAGAGGGCCTAACATCCTCAGTCCCAGATGCCACATGAAGGTGATCTGATGGTCACTGTGGTTGGATGAGATGCAAGAAGGCCTGGGTTCTAGTCCCATGGCCTGCCACTTCAAGCTGGGTGACCCTGAGCAAATGACTCCTCTCTGTGGCTCAGTTTCTCTGCAGTGGTGTGATAGGGATTAGATCACTAGTTTCCAAGCTGTTCCCTGGAGACTGAAGGTGGAGTGGGAAGGGCACAAAAGTGCTTCAGGGGTCCCTGAGGAGGTGAAATGGAAGCCAAGCCACCGGCTCCCTCTGAGTAGAGCAAGGACACTTTATATACCGAGCTTCCTTTTAAGTTTCAACGAACAAATGGGCTGTTACTGAAAACAAATTTGAAAAGCAATGGTCTTAAGATGATTTCATGGCTTTCTCCTGGCTCAAGTCCAGAACCTAATAATGATGTGAACTCAGAGATGGGAAGCAGCTCCCATGGGAGGAGGCCGAGCCAGGGCAGGGCACCCACAGGAGGGCCTTCCCTGGAATCTGTTTCACTGGGAGAAGGATGGAAGAAAGTATGGCATCAACTCATAGAAGATGCTTCATTCTGGGTCCCCTCTGAGGAAACTCCTGGGATTAGGGCTCTGGGAGAGGGGACAGTCTCTTTGGGTTTCATGGCCCTGCTCCGTGGGATTCCCTGGGTCTGAGGGCCCTAGATCTGTTGGGTCTAAAATGCTGTGACCTCTGTTGGGTCTAAAATGGGTGTGGGGGCACCTGGCTGGGTCAGCTGATAGAGCATGTGACTCTTGATCTTGGGGTCATGAGTTCTAGCCCTACACTGGGCGCAGAGATGACTTTAAAAAATAAAATAATAATAAATAAGTGAAATGAGCGTGGAGTCCAGCGAATGAAAATATCAGTCTTCCTTATGTTTTCTTCCTCGTCACTTGTCTCATAACAAGGCCCCGATCAGGCCTCATATCCAAAATCCTCCAGGGCAGCAAATGCAGTCCTGTGGGACCAGGCCCAGGGAGGCACCACCAGGCAGCCCCAAACCCATCAAAAACCACAGACACCAGAAGCTGCCACTCACCACATTTTTTACAAAATAAAGCTCTTCCCTTCCTTCCCCATGTTCCCTACGCTCCAGTTCCGAGCCTGGGGCAGGAGGGGAGATGGGCAGGACTCCTACATGGCGTGCTCCTGCTGCTGGGGCACGGATCTGGCCCGCTGCGAGGGTTCCAGCCCGCCCCAGAAGCTGAGATTCCTCCTGAGTGAGGTGAGCACCTGTACCTGGAGGTTGGAGACAGGGGCAGGGCTGGCGGCCAGAGCTGCAGTCGCCATGGTGCGGTTCAGCAGCGGATTGGGCGGAGTGCTGCTGGGCGGGTGCGTGGCCTTCCAATAGGCTTCCAAGTATTCGGCCAAGTGCTCGCAGGCATCCTCCAATTGGTTCTCGTCCAGGATGATGTCAAACATTTCCTGCGGAGGTGGGGTTAGGGGCAGGGCTGGAATGAGCTGGGCGTGACCAAGGGGGTGAGGGGTGTGGCCTAGGTGCAGTGGGTGGAGTCAAAGGGTTGAAGGACAAAGTTAAAAAGAAACCTTCGGATGTCCAGGAAAAGGAGGACTCTCAGATATATACATTGTCATAGCTACCAAAGGTCTTGGCACCCAGACTAGCCCGACTCTCTCATTCTAGATAGAAGGCAACCAAAGCTGGAAGAGGGGCCTGCCTCGCCACAGAGAAGTGGTGCTTCCAGGGTCCAGCATTCATTTCCCCCAAAAGACCAGTGCACATTAATAGACCCCACCCTGGTGCTCCGGTCACTCTATCTCTCTTGTAGGCCAGAGGAAACAGGACAACCCAAACGCCCCCCCTTCCCTTTCCCTGGGTCTGAGCACTCACGGGGGGACACTGTGCCAGCTTCTCTGAGGCCGCTATTTGGACATTGAGGTGTTTGGACTGAGACTTCCCTCGGGACTTGATGAGCCTCTGAAGTACCTGGTTTGGGAGGAGAGAGAGAAGCTAGAAGGACTCCACAGTACGCCGTATCAGAGAGGCAGGTCCTGGTTACAGCCAGTGTGTCAGAGCCAGGGGATGTGGGATGACTCTCAGCCCTGGCCACTTCTTCAGAAGTGACCTCACCTGCCCTATGTCCATCCTTAGACAATGCTCAGGCTTTCCTGGGAAGTGGCTACTTGAAAGGCAGTGACTCTCCTTCCTGAACCCTCTAACCTTCTTCACAGGCTTCATTCTCCAGGAAAACATCTCCACGTTAACCGTGGCAGCTAGCCTTTATGGGATGCTTGCTCTGTACGGGCACTATTCTGTGCTTTCTACACAGTCAATTCATTTAGTCCTGACAATATCTCATTAGGTAGGCACTATTACTATTCTCATCTCGATAACAATAATGATAATGGTGAATAATAGCTCAACATAAAGCCACAGCCTCAACTAAATGACTGAAGTTAACATCACCAATGACACAACAGATACCATGTGCCTCCTGATGCAACACATACAGACAGACACACCGCTTTGGTGCTATTCCCACCAAAAATGCAAAATCTAAACCTCATCACAATGAAACATCAAGCAGACCCATGCTGAGGAACAGTCTACTAAATCAATGATCTGTACTCTTTAAAAATGTCAGTATCATGAAAGTGTAGGAAAGGCCGAGGAAATGTTCCAGTTTAAGAATGCTAGGGGTGCCTCGGTGGCTCAGTCGGTTAAGCGTCTGGCTCTTGATTTAAGCTATGTCATGATCTCACGGTTCAGACTGTGAACATGAGATCAAGCCCCACATCGGGCTCTGAACTGACAGTGCAGGAGCCTGCTTGGGATTCTCTTTCTCCCTCTCTCTCTGCTCCTCCCCACCTCTCTCTTTCAACAAATGAATGAATGAATGAATGAATGAATGAATGACTAAATTTACATTTAGGAGCACTTGGGTGGCTTAGTCAGTTAGGTGTCCGACTTTGGCTCAGGTCATGATCTCACAGTTCTTGAGTTCGAGCCCTGCATCAGGCCCTCTGCTGTCAGGGGCTCTCTGCTGTCAGCGCAGAGCCCGCTTCAGATCCTCTGTCCCCCTCTCTCTCTGCCCCTACCCCCACTCGTGCATGCATACTCTCTCTCTTAAAAATAAATTAACATTTTTTTTTTTTATTTATTTCTAGGAGAGAGAGCGAGAGAGAGACAGCGTGAGCAGGGGAGGGTCAGAGAGAGAGGGTGTCACAGACTGAAACAGGCTCCAGGCTCTGAGCTGGCAGTCAGCACAGAGCCCGACGCGGGGCTCGAACCCACAAACCGCGAGATCATGACCTAAGCGAAAGTCGGACGCTCAACCGACTAAGCCACCCAGGCACCCCAATAAATTAACATTTTTAAAAATAAATTTAAAAACGGTTCAGAAAAAAAATATATATATATACATATAACATAATACATATATACAGAAAGATAAAATAAATGTGGCAAAATGTTTAAAATTAGTGAAGAGAACTGAATAATATACTTTAAATGCTGAATTGAGTGGTAGAAGAATTATCTCAATAAAGCTGTTAAAAAATGAGTGAATCTGAGTGAAGGGCAGTCAGAGAATGGCAGTTCTTGGTACTATCCTGGCAGCTTTTCTCTAGACTTGGAATAATTCCAAAACAAAAATCTTAAAAAAAAAAAAAAAAAGTAATAGCTATAGAACTTAGTAGGTACAATCCACTTACGTAATCCTCACCACCACCATTTGAGGAGCTCTATTTTGCAGGCGAAATGGGCACAGAGAAGTTAGGTGGCTTGCCCAACGAGCATAGAGCTGGGGAGCAGCACAGCTGGTATATTAACCCTGGGCATTCTGGCTCCAGAGTCCCCACCCTCAACCTCAGTGCCCAGTGGGGGAAATGGAAGCATCTGTTCCTTTCTAGCTCTGCAAAGTGTTTTTGTATCCATTATCTCATTTGATCCTTTCAACCACCCCAGGAAGTACTTAAATCCTATCATTCCCTTTATGCTCACCAGAAACTGAGGACTCAAAAAGGTAAGGGTTAAGTGACTGGGTAGTATCATGAAGTGGTAAGAGTTACCATCCTTGATTGTCATCATGAATCAGACAGAACTCTGGGCTCTTTACATCATCACCTGAAATCCTCTCAACAATAACAAGGGAGAGATTTTAGTTCCCATTTTATAGGTGAAGAAACAGAGGCTCAGAGGCTAAATAAATTCCCCAAAGATCTCCAGCTCAATAAACAACAACAAAACAACAAACTTTAATTAATTAATAAGTCAACCACAGCAAAAACTTGAACTCAATGCTGTCTTCTAACTTCAAATACTTCACCTGAACTTGCCCTCCATGTTTCTCAACCCTCCCCCCCCCCAACTAACATTTAGGAGGGAAAACTCACAGAGCTGCAGTACAAAAAATAAGTAAATTAGCCTTCCTACCGATTCATCTCTATCAAGGTCCAAGTGAGGACAGTGCAGCAAAAAGGGACAAAATCAAATGACAGAAAAGACCTCCCAACTGCCAAGTCGTTGGGTGACACTGCAACAAAAAGCACAGAATTCTTTTGGTTTCCTCAACCCAGGATGGGAGGCCAACCAGAATGGAGACAGGGGACTGGCCTGCGTGACCCTATTAATGATATTTAGACTGGCTAATACATGATGAAGCACATTATACCAGACACTTTGCTAAGTGCTAAACATTCACATTAGGTTCAATCTCACAATGTCCATTTGATGGAGTTTTCCCGAGCAGGCAAATGAGACTCGGGGAGATTTAGTCACAGAATTAATAAGCAGTTGCTGAGATTTAGACATAGGCCACCCAACCCCAGAGCACTACTGTCCCCACTAGGGTTAGGCTCCAGCACCCACCTTTGGAGAAGTAATCTTGATGTAAACAATGATGGGGGCCAGTGAGGTCTTGGAGAGCTGGGCTGGGTGGTTGATGGTGTCAGCATCCAGAGCAACCAACTGAAGGGTCCGGGCCAGCTCAAAGATTCGCTCGATCTCGCTCTGAACCTCAGCTGGGAGACACGGAGTCATGGGGAAGAGGGAATGTAGGGGAGCCTCCCCAAGAGACGGTGGGCAATAGAACACTTCTGGAGATGCCCGCCCTACTGCCTCCCCTTCCCACGTCTGGGCCCAGAAGCGGGGGTCACAGGGTGGGCTTACCCAGGCTGGAGCGTGTGTTGGAGCGCTCAATGATGATGTGTTTGCTGGGGTTGTTGAGGACTGAGCGCTTAGCCAGGGAAATGTCCGCCGTCACACGAGTGATGGAGATCCTGAGGGATGGGCACGGGGATTGAGGGGTCGGGATGGGCTACAAGGTGTGGCTCCCTCCCCAGGCTCCAGGTCCTAGCCCTCAGTCCAGGAGTCCCAGAATCATCATTCAAGCCACCCTGCCCACCCCCAGCAGCAGAGGGCTAGAGTGAGAGAGGGGTCTTACCTGCCATCAAATCGATGCTTCAGGAAGTCAAATAAAGCTTTCTGCATCATGTCTGTAACCTGAGGTTGGGGGTGGCGGGGGAGAAGTCAGGTGTGGGTGGGCTGCTGAGTGTTTACCCCCTCACATTCCATTTTCTTCTTAAATTCCTGAGACATATGGGTCTCTAAGGGGGTGGAGGGTTCTTTCTGGGTCTGATGGGCTTCCAGTGGGGTGTCTGATTCCAAAGGTTCTTCTAGGTGGTATCTCTGGGAGGAGATACCTTTCTGGGGAGGGAGGTTCTTGGGGGGGGGATCCAAACACTTCTGAGCAGGTTTCCCTGTGGGTCAGGCCCCTCTGGGGGGCTTCTCTGAAGGTCTGTAGCCCTCTAGGGAGAGATCCTGGGAATTTGGGCCTTTCTAGGAGATCTGTGTGGGGTATGAAACTTTCTGTAGCATCTCTCTGGAGGTCTGGGCCCCTCTGGGTCCACTCCCCCTCTAGGGGCTCCTACCTCATAGCCCTTGAGCGACGGTCCCACCAGGATGATGGGCCTCATGGAAGGTACCACGTCATAGGGGGGCACATGCTCTGTCTGAGGGGAAAGCAGGGAGGGGAAAGCCCAGAATGCGGATGGCATTAGCCCCTCTTCCCCAGCCTCCAGGTTCCCCCATGCATCCTGTCCTCTCCCGGGTCCCAGAGCCCAGATGTGGGGATTGAGGTGGGGTGGGGTGGGGAGGGAGGGCCAAGGAGAATCGGGAAGGGTGAGAGAAAAGGGGGTGGGTGGGAAGGGCACAAGAATGGGTGTTAGAAGGTCAACTAGCTCATCCCAGGAGGTGGGGAGGGGGACACAGAAAGCTGTGATACTCACCGACTTCTGCTTCTGTTTGGCTGGATCCAGAGATTGCCAAGAGTGGGGTGGGGGCGGGGGGAGAGGGAAGGGCGCCCAGGCAGGGGCAGAGGGCAAGGAAGGAACCAGGGCAAGAGAGGGAGGGAGAGCGGGCAGACGAGGAGAGATAACAGGGCATGCGTGTTAGTGACAGACAGAGCCAGAGAGAGGGGACGGGACCCCATTCCACGGGGGAGCCAGAGATGGCCCTAAATCAGGGTTGGGAGGACTGACAGTCAACCCAGCAGATTTGGGAATATTCAGACATACCCTTCCCCTTTCTGAGTCTTGGGAAAGAGCTGGGAAGGGTGACAGCCCCTAATTTGGTGCCCATCTCCTACCCCTAATGCAGTCCAGGAACCTTCCCATTTTAACGGTTCCTTTAACTGTCCTGCTGTGCAGTCAGGAGACCCCCATGTGCCCACCCTAGACCCACAGAGTCCAAAAAGGACAAAGAAGGGTCACTATTCCAGTCTCCCCTTCACATGCAGGGGCAGGGGCAAGCATGGAATATTCCAGTGCTAGTGAAGGCTGAGGTCAGGTTTCATTACCACCAGACCCTGATTCCAGTGGTGGTGGTGTCAGGGGGTACAGCCCGCCAAGGGCAGTGGTGTTTCGGCTGCAAGAACCATCCCTTCCTGGGGGTGGGCCAGAGTGGGGTTGTGTGTGGAGACGGATGTGCCCATTGCCCACCCTGGCCCCCCCCCAACCCGGGCTCTTTGGCAGGAGGCCCTGCTCCCCACAGGATCAGGCTGGTTCCGCATCTGAATCCATCCTGGCCCCCTCCTCCTGCCCCACAGCTGGGCCCTGACCCCTTGCCCTCTGGCCAGAACCCAGCAAGAATTACCTTCTTGAAGAAGGGGATGCGTTTGCCATGGGGTGGCGGGGTGGTGACACTGCTAACACTAGTCTTGGCAGAGCCGCTCTGCTCCCCGAGCTCTGCCTCCTCGTCCTCTAGCTCTAGGGGGTCTAGTTCAAAGGCTAAGTTAGTCATTTCATTACCTGGACCGCGGTCAGGAGAGAGGAGGGAGGCGAGGTGGGGAGGAGTGGGATGGACATGGAGACACAGTACAGAAGGCAAGGATGGGATGGGGAGAAAAGAAAGAAGAAGAGGTGAATGGAACAGAGCTAGGAGAAATGAATGGGGGTGGGGTGGGGGAGTCAGGCAGAGAGATGGAGCTACCAAAGAAACGGGAAGGAGAGATGAGAGAATGGGCGCGGACGGGCCCAGCTTGGGGGGGACCCTACTCTTCACGGAGGGGGTACCGCTGGAGGTGTTTGGAGGACTCAAGACCAGGGTGCCCCCTACTGCAGGGAAAGGAGGGGACAGGCAATGGGGAGACCACCCCACCCAGGAGCTCCTCCCACCCACCCCACCCCTGCCCCATTCCCTAAGGCGGCAACGGCTCTTACCACTGGCAGGGGGTGTGGGGCGGCGGGTGCCAGTCACCACGTCTCCCAGGCTGGAGCTGGAGTTGTCACCTGATTTGCTGTGTGGGCAGAGAGGCAAACGGAGCTGTGAGCGGAGGGGTGGGCGTGAGGGCGGGGGAACCCTGTTCTCTCACGTGCTGCCTGCCCCCCACTCCCCTGGAGACCCTCCAGCCCCACTGGCGATGCCAGAGGCAGCTCTGTGTGCCCAGGGCACTGGGTCAACGCTCGAGGCCCTGTCCCAGCTGGATGGCCTCTCCGCGGTCCCCAGCTAGATACCTGGAGCTGAGGCGGTTCTGGCGCAGCTTCTGTTCCTGCAGAAGGCGCAGGCTGTCCAGTTTGACGGGGCTGGGGATGAAACCAACCTCACAGCCCTCCTTCACCAGTCGCCCAATCCACCAGTCGTTATTGTATTTCTGCAAACGGCAGCGGGTGGGGTGGGAGAGACCAAGAGCGAGATTGGAGTGGCGGGCCAGTGGCTACCCTCAGGAGAAAACAGCCCTGGACCCGCCAACCGTGCCCAGGAGGTGGCACCCTCAAAGAACCGGCACCTGGCTCTAGCCTCGGAGCAGAGCCCACGAGTCTCAGGACTCCCTCTTGTGCCATGGACCACCTCGCCCCCAGCACATCCCTGTCCCACCACATGCCCGCCCGACCCTCGAAAGGCAGGGAGAGGAGGAAATGCTGACCCCCTACATGTGCCCGCACACTGACCCTCCACCTCCAGATCTCATCACAACCCTCTCAACCACCGTGTGACCTAGGCAATTACCAATGAAAATTAGAGGCTCAGAGATGTGAGGAGATTTGCCTAAGGTCACACAGCAGATTCCGCTAAGCTCCACTTGGCTCAGAGCTCCGGCTGCCCATCTCCTGGCACCCACCACCCTGCCCTCTTTCCAGATACCAAGTGCTCTCTCCACCTCTTTGATGTGCAGGAAGTCCTTGGGCTCGAAGGTGATGGCCACTCCCTGCACCGGAACCTCATCTCCTGGAGACGGGTTGTAGCCGACATTTGTCCGCACAGCAAATGCCACTGGTTTGGTCTAGAGGAGGTGCACAGGGAGAATAACAACCAGAAGGTTAAACCACGACGTAATGTGCTGGGGTGGGGGCGATGTGGATGTTTGCGTTGTTGATCACTAAAATGTATACTGAATGGTGTCAGCAGTATTCCTGTGTGTATGTTACATTTCATAGTAAAAAAATAAAAATTGAATTCAGCCTTCTCAGGATGGAGGGGGCCACAGGGGATGGTAAATATTAGCCCAGAATGATACCCAGAAAGAATATTAGTAATAATAATAATCAAGAGAGTAGCTGTCGTTCACTGTTCCAGGCGTCGTGTTACACATTTTACAAGCAGTAGCTCATTTATTCATCACAAAAACCTTAGGAAGTTAACTACTAGGGATGCCCGGCAAGCTCAGTCAGTGGAGCGTGTGACTCTTGTTCTCGGGTTGTTAGTGCAAGCCCCACATCGGGTATAGAGATTACTTACAAGAAAAAGAATAAAATCCTTTAAAAAACAAAAAAGAAGTTAAGTACTATTATTATCTTCATTTTAATGAATGAGAAGACTAAAGTTCAGAAAGGTTAAGGGGCTTGCCTAAGATCACACAGCTAAGAAGAGTCAGCCCAGGAAGTATGACTCCAGAAGGAAGTGGAAAGTCTCAAGTTCTTATTACGTGTGGAAAAACTATTAGGCGTTTATTATACTATATAAGAAGGCAAGTATTATAGCCCACGTTTTACAGCTGTAAGACAGACGCACATCAAGGCCCTGGGGTATACCAGCTAAGAAGTGGCTGGGCCAAGACTTGACCCTGGGTCTGTCCAGGCCACCTCTAATGCCTGGGGGCACGAGAAATAATGCTAGCATAGCCCTCCAATTCTGTATTTCTCACCTTGGCTTTCTCAAGCTGGGCTAATGCCTGGCGCTCTGCCTCCTTCCTTAAGGCTTCCCGGTCCTCCTCCAGGGACACGTCAGAGTCCGACGGGCGGCTGGTATAGGACTCCGCTGAGCCCTGAAAACAGACAGGGCCGGCTCAGGGCCAACACTGCCTCCCAGTTTCTGGGCCTCGGAAGGCAAAGAGGTGCCAGCCACCTATCATGGATGCCTCAAGCCCCAGCCAGCCCAGCATGATGCCACAGGGGCTAGGGAAAGGTGGCATCAGATGAGAGGAGTCAGGGACTAAGCCTTGCAGGCCCCTGGGGAAAGTGTGGCCCTAGGAAGGGTGACAGCAGCGAGCAGGGGGTTAAGGCAGGTCCAAGGACAGCTGCTTGGGGCCCAGGGAGGGGTGGGAACCTGATAGGGGCACAGCGCAGGGGAGGAGTGCCAGGGGCCGAGTCTCCACTCCCTGTTCCTCCTTCCCTCCCCTGCGCCCAGCACCAGCTGAGATAGACTCAGTAGAAGCCTACTGAGTCCTTCTAGGGACAGTGGCCACCAGCTTAGGCCTGAGCTCTCTGCCCTGTGGGCAGCGGGCAGCCTGCTCTTGCCCTGCGTGATGGGGCCGCCAAAACGTCGGCTATCTTCTGTTCAAAGGTGAGCGAAGATAGAACCCCACTTCTCTGGCCAGAATCGGAGAGGGCCCAACCCTCCGGCTCTCACCAGATACAAAACAGAACCCAAGACTCCTGGGGTAGTGCAGGCAGAAGAGGCAGGTTCAGATCGGGACACGGGGCAGGCCTCTCTCCAACACGAGGGCTGCTGGCTGCTCAGGGGGAGGCAGGCCCAGAAATCTGGCTGTGCCAGGAAGCCCGCCTCGACCACGCTGACCATCCCAGAGCACAAGGGGCTCCGTCAGGAATGCAGGCACATGCGGAAGACGGGAAGCCTGTCCAGACCCCCCGTGTCAGTGAACACGCTTATCCACCGGCGTGCTTGGATGTGCAACGTCAAATGTGTTTAGAAGAGCAAGTTCTATGGTATGTGCTGGGCAGACATGACTGAATGCGCGGCGGGGCACGTGAGCGTGAACAGGGGAGCGCGCTAGGGGTCAGCGTCCCTGACGGTGTGCGGCACGTGCGGCAGGACCTGGGAGGTGTGAATCTGTGTGACTGGGCCCCCCTCCACCAGGCACTGAGGGCCAGGAGGTGATGTGGGGAAAGAGCAGGACTGCGGACACATGAGGGTTCTTTTCCTGAGGGTCACTTGGCCAGGAATGCCCCTTAGTGTGATACGGAGGGGACCCAGGAAAGACAGGAAGCTAAGTCCCACCTCCCCCGGAGGGCCCTGGTCATTAGCTAGTGAGGCTGCCGCTTCCTTGCCCAGCCAGACCACAAAAATGGGAGGCTCGTGGGGCGCCTGGGTGGCTTAGTCGGTTGAGCGTCCGACTTTCGCTTAGGTCATGATCTCATGGTTTGTGGGTTCGAGCCCCGCGTCGGGCTCTGTGCTGACTGCCAGCTCAGAGCCTGGAGCCTATTTCAGAGGCTGTGTCTCCCTCTCTCTCTGACCCTCCCCTGCTCACGCTGTCTCTCTCTCTCTCTCTCCGAGAAATAAATAAAAAAATTAAAAAAAAAATGGGAGGCTCGTAAAGGTGCAAGATCAGGGCTGGGGTGGAGACACTAATGGAAAGTAGGAAAGAGACAAAAAGGAAGGAGAGTGAAAGCCAGCTATCCTACCACTCTCCACGCCTCCTGAGGGCAGCCCTCAGAGTCAGGGAGACAGATGCCCAGAGGGTCAGAGAAGGAGACCCAGAGACAGGGCGGCAGAGAGGCATTTACTGATCCTAACACGCATACGCACACACGCACGCACACACAGACATGCGCGCACAGAGACATATCAGAAATGGCAGGAGCAGAAACGGTGAGGAGGCAAGGAGACCGGCTGGAGTGAGCCCCCCCCCCCCCCCCCCCCGCCACCCACCAGCTTTCCCTTTGGGGCTGCTCCCACCCATCCCTACCCCATCCCTAGCTCACCACTACGAGGGTCCGGCTGGGCGCCTCCATCACAGCGCCCTCAGTGCCTGGCCCTGCCGGCCGAGGGGGTGGCCCAAACTGTCCGTTCCCCCAGGGGGGCTCAGGTTACAAGCAGAGTTGCTACATGTGCAAACTGCTAGGGTATATTTAGCTCAGAGATGTGGCAAGGCCTGCTCCCCCACTCCCCGCCACCTACTGGGGCTCAGAGAGAGGGAGCTGAGAGGAGGAAGGATTAGAGGCTGGGGTCTGATCCCCTGGGGTGGCAAACACTGAAAGAACCAAGGCCTTTTTCTGTCAAGAGGCGTCACACGGAGCACAGTGTCATTCCTCCTAGCCCTGGCCCTGGGCCAGCCCTGCAACAGGAGGAAGGAGGAAAAGACTGCAGAAAGGACTTCCTATCCATCTGTGTACTCGGGAGATGCTGAGATGAAGGGCTCCCGGTTCTGACCCTCTCAAGTCAGGCCTGAGCTCACAGGTGTCAAGCGTCGTGGAGACAGAAGAATCAAAAAGAAGGGCTCACTCCAGTCTGTGGGGGATCTGTGCGGCCCAGCCTATCTCTCCAGCCCGAGGGGGGCTGACCTCCCTTCTGCCCTATGCCCTCACATGCCCTTCCCGTTTCCTCTCCGGCATACTCCCTTTCCTTGTCTGATCCCAAGCCTCTCTCGCCTTTTTTGGGTACCAGGCTTTGTTGAGATGCTCTGTCGTCATAGCAACCACATGCCTCTCTGGCTGCCTCTCCCTGAGCCTGAGATGGCCTGGGGTTGAGAGTGAGAACACAGAAGAGAAAGGCATCTTCCTGACTGATAACAGAAGACCCCAGAAAGCCATTCAGTTATCTCCCTTGGCTCAGGGGAGCTGGGCTCCCTGAAACCAACCCCCTCCGTCCCTCACCACTACCAACACACTTTCTCTCTGCATATTAAAGAACAGTCATAGCTGGAAGTGTGGCGGACCTTTCCCTGACCCTTACCTAACAGGGGTTCCAGGGACCCGAACGGCCTGGCTCTACATTTCTTAGGCTCTGCCTCTACCCCACGCTGTCACAGATTCCGGGGGAGGACATGGAAGCAGACAGCCGGCAGGGGGAGTGGGTGACAGCCCGAAGCAAGCTAGAAGGAGGCAGGCTGTCCCTGAAAGAGATGACGCAGGCAGGCAGCAGGGGCTGGTGCCTGGAGCTGGGGGAGGGGAGGGGAGGGGTGGGGGCCGAGGGAGTGGGTGCAGCTGACAGTATATGCAGAGGTCACGGGGGTAAGGGTGATGGGGTGGTTCCAGGCAAGTGACAAATGACATGGGGGAGGGTGCCTGGAGAAAGCCTCAGATGCAGCTCACCAACGCTGGTCTCCACCAACCAGCCACCTCCTTCCTCTCAGCCCAGCCTCCCAATTACCTGGCGGACAAAACTGTTGGATGTCGTATCCGAGGACGTGCTCCCATCCGACCTTTTGAACCGCCCTTTCCTCTTGCTGTATTTGCCCTGGAGAAGCCAGGAGGGGACAAGAGTGGAATCAGAAAGGGCCTTTTCCAACCCTCATCCCATCAAGCCCAGAGCTTACAGCCAAGCCTTGGGAATATCAGCCCCTGATCTGAACAGCCCCACCCCCCATCTTCTTCCTGAGATGGTACAGCCCTAAGGGGAGGGAAGGCCCTGGGGTGGGGGACAGTGCAAGAGAGCCTCAGGAAGCACACACAGAAACCCCCAAACCAAGGCAGAGAGACTGGGGATGGGGAGGCGCTGAGAAGCTGGAGGCTCATTAGGCAGCAAAGCTAATTAAGATGCTGGGCAGGCTGCAGAGGCCTCCCAGGAAGGGAGAGGCTGCCTGCAGTGTTAGGGGGGCAGAGAGAGCTGGGGAAAGTCCCCCTCCCTTTCCCTCTTAGCTGGAGCAGAGGGGGGGCAGTGGCCGAGAGTGCCTGAGGCCCCCAGAGAGAAGAGGAATCACCAACCCAGGCCCAGCTTAGCTCTTCCCATGACCGAATCTTGCCTTCATTTTTCCGCAGAGTGGGGAGGGGAGTGGCAGCTCTCAGCTCTGGGAGACCCAAAACTAGATTTCCGGGGAAAGGGCTGAAGGCGGGGGGGGGGGGGGGGGGGGGGGGGGGGGGGGGGGGGGGGGGGGTGCATGGGACTGTATTTAGAAAGGAAACATCTAACCCCAAACCACCCCAGCGGGCACCCCCCCCAACCCCTCAGGACTTTTCCTCAGGCCCCTTCTCACAGTCACAGTGGTCACACCCCTCCCTTCAGAGAAAGGGATCAAACTTCCACTTTCTGACCCCTGGCTGCCACTGCCTATGCCCAATCCCCATCGTCCCCACCAGACTGCATCAAGTTCAATGCCCCTTGGCCCTGCCCCAAGACAAGCCCAGGACACAACCCCCACTAATTCATGGGGTAGGCTGGCTCAGTCTCACTTGCTGGTCTCTTGGCTTGGGTGGAGTGGACACTGCTTGACCTCTTGAGCAGCCACACATTCAGGTATTTCCAGGCCTCCTGGAAAGGGGGCTGCTTCTGTGCCCTCCTTAACTCACATACACATGTGGCCCCAGGCCAATCCCAAAGTAGGGGTGGGGGTGATTGAGGGTTCAGGTCCTCCAAGCCCTTGCCCCCACCCTCAATCCTAGAGTTTCTTTGCCAAAGAAGCTAGATAAGACATGATCACGTTAGGGGCTGCTTTGGATCCTTGGGCCTGAGTACAAGGAGCATGGATAGATGGGAGAGAAGGGTACCTGGGAACCCTTCAAAAATCCTCCCTCCCATCCCCCTCCTTCAAACTAGGCAAATATCCAACCTCTAGGATTGAGGATCCCTACAAACTTAAGAGGATCTTTCAGTGAGCCCCTCTTTCACCATACCACCACCCCTACCCCCCTCCACCACCACCCCAGGATGGGAAAAGGGAGTGGCACCCAGAGAGACAGGGGACAGCTGAAAGGAAGGCCCCAGTCAGCTGCCTCCCAGGGGCCTGGGGTGGAAAAGGGAGGTATTTTTAGGTCTAACCTGCTCCCACCCCCCCCCACCCCCATGCCCATCAACCACATTATCATGGTGGTTACAGTTGCTCTAGGCTGGCCACAGCAAGAGAAGAGTTAATGGTATTTTAGCCTTGTAGTGTTGCCAGATTAGGGAATGGCCTTGTCCCAGAGAAATCCCTTGGTAGGACCACCCCAGACCCTAACCAGCCACCCCAGATCCTGCTGGTCACTCCGTGGGCACACACCACACCCAAGAATGCCCCTTCCTGGGGATAACCCGGGACGCATTAGAAGTGTGAGTAGGGGTGGGGTGGCAGACAGCCCCCACCACCCAGGTAACACAGCTTCTTTCCCTCCAGGACAGTGAGTTGGCATCCATCCAACTTTCCAAACTTTGGAGGCGTTTTCTAAGGCTGGGAAGGGGAGGGGGGTGGAGAAGGAAAGATAACGTGGGTGCTGGGGTAGGGAAGCTGGTCCAAAATAAGGATGTAGCCGAGGTGCCAGGATGGGGGTGTCTCGCCCAAGGCTGGCCCCTTCCCCACGGTGTAAGGCCAGTGTCTGCGGCTCCGAAGGCCTGCTGGCACCGCCCTGACCATCGCCTCGGCCATCACCCAGTACCACCCCCGCCCCACCCACCCCCGCCTGGCGCCCCTGAGCGTGCTCTGCGTCGCCCCCTTTGCCTGAGCTCGCTCTCCAGTCTCCCTCAACCCCCGGATGCCCCGCCAGCACCCCGACTCTCAACCCATGGAGCCGGTACCCGAGCAGCAAAGACCCTGACGCGGGGGAGCCGAGGCGAGGGTGGTGACAGGCGGTCCGATCGCCCCCTCCCCGCTCGGCCAAACCGCAAGCCCAACTCCGGGCCAAGCGCCCATCAATCATTAACCCGCAGGGATTAGGGGCGCGCAGACGCCCCTCGCCGCTCCGCGCCGGGCACATAACTCCTTCTCCGTCGTCCCTCGAGTCGACACCACAAGGTCCGTGGGAGCGGCCCCCTGCCCTCGGACCCGGCCACCACACCTCACCTGCGGGCTGGGGTCGAAGACCTCCATGGGGATCTCCTGGGAAGGTGGGTAAGGGCTCCGGGACATGCTGGTCTTCTGGACCATGGAGAGGCGCCTCCCCTCCGGCCGCCGGCCCGGCCAAGCCGGGCGCCCTCAGCGCATGAGAGAGGCCGTCGGAACCGAGAGCAGCGCAGCGCAGCCGGCACCCGCTCCAGCCACCTGGCCCGGCCTTCGGCTGCCCTCTTCCTGCCTGGCGTCCCTCCTCCCGCTCTCTCTCCTCTGCCGCCGCGGCCGCCGCCGCCGCCGCCTCCTCCGCCCCTGAAGGCTCAGCATCTCCCCCCGCCCCCTCCGCTCCCACCTGCCCCTCCTTCCCTCCGCCCTCCCTCCCTCCGCCCGCCCCGGCCCCGCCCCTCGCAGCCCCTCAGCAGGCTCAGCATAGACAATGGGAGGGCAGCCGGAGCGAGGCACGCCCCTCTTGGCTCTGGGCGGGGGAGAGCCTTGGCCGCCGACAGAGTAGGGAAAAGGGTGGCCCGCTCGGGGTCCAGGGGTGGAGGGAGGAGTAAAACCCTGCCTTGGGGCAGGGAGGGGGGGGCGCGGTTTACCAGCGGCTGTCGAGCTCTGATGGAGGTGAAACGCGGATTGGCGCGGCCCCCGGCTTCCGTCCCAAACCACTCTCACTTAGCAGGTCTGCCCATTCCACTCGGGTTTGGGCCGCCGGAACTTCCCGATCCCGTTGATCCAGGGACCTGGCGTTAACTCTTTTCTCCCCGGTGTGGGCCTAGGCCTACTTGAACTTAACAGAGAGGCCCCTCTTCCAACAGGACCGTGCTGGACCGTCGGCCAGCCAACCCGAGGCTCAGGCTGGGGTGGGGAGAATGTCCAAAGGGAGTCCCCACACAGAGACCCAGAAGTCTTTCTGCCCTAGTCCCTAGAATCCCCCCAGACCCTTCCAGAAAGGCAAGGTCCCTGTTCCTTGGAAAAGAGAGGAAAGGGTAGGAAGAAATGTGGAGCTGAGAGAGGAGAGTAGCTAAAATCAAATCTAGTGACTTTTCACCTAGAACTGCTCCCCTTCATCCTTCATTTGGGGACAAATACCCAAGGCCTGGATCCCACCCACCACTACCTATGGAGAGAAAAGAAGTAGGGGATTCTAGGAAGAATTCTGGCTTTGGGGCGCCTGGCTGGCTCAGTCAGTAAAGCATGCGACTCTGTGTCAGGGTTGTGAGTTCCAGCCCCCCCACTGGGCACAGAGGTAAGTTAAAACAAAACACAACACAAAACAAAACACGTGTCAATTTGGCTCAGGCTGTTTCTGGTTGTGTGGCCCTGGAAAAGTCACTACACTTCTGTAAAGTGGGGTTGCCCGTACTGTGGTGTCTTTGTCCCGTGGGATTATTGCGAGGATGCGGGAGAATGAAATTAAATGATGGACTTTCAGATGTCTGGAGATGCTGTAAGGTGCTGAAGAGAGGTCTGTTGTGACAGGAGGAATGGTTACCTCTCTATCCCTGCCCTTGCTCCTCAAAGAGGAGCGATGAGAAGTAGGATGGACAAGATTTGCCCAGGTTCAGTGACTCTAATATAAAGGCCAGCCTGCTGTCTCCTGCTGTCGGAGAAACTGTGGAATACACTGACTCCTTCTCACCCTGGGTTCTGAAAGTGGATGGCCAGCTTAAGTTGTTTCTCTGATCACATTACTTTGAGGGAGAGTAAGGATGAAGTACATCAGCGTTGTTCTCTGAACAGATCCAACCCAAAGCAGGGGTTTGATCTGTCCCTCTGGCCCAAGAGAACCTGGTATGGCAGAGAAGGCATGTATATTGAATTCGGAAAGACCTGGATTTTCAATTTCTGCTACCTCACTCAGCTGTAAAATAAGAACGGTATAAACTGTGTTATTTTGAAGAAGTGGCATAAATTTTGCTTCCCTTCCTCTCTTTCCTCAGCTCTCTTTAGCAACCAGGAAAGTTCAGATCATAGAGATCGGTGATTAGCTAGAGCCATGCAAGGAGTTACACCCAGGACTCAAGTCTAGGTTTCTTGAACCCTAGAATATTCTCTGGGTTTTTGCATTGGGTGTTTCAGAGCAGGAAAAAAGAACTATGTATGATCCTGCCATTCCATTTTGTTTTTTAACTTTCCCAAGTATTCATTCATTCAGCCAATGCACTATTTCTCAAATGCTTACTATATGCAAAGCCCCTTCCCTCCTGTAGTACACAGTGTGAGCCAAACAAGACTGGTTCCTGTCACCAAGGAGTTTGTTGTCTTCGTGTCCTCCTTTGCAAATTAACTCATGTGGTTTTCACAAGGGATCACAGAAATATTAGGATAACGTACACTTTACAAAGGAGCAAACTGATGCACTACGAGATGAAGGACCGCAGTGGCGCAAAAACATAAACTAGTATCTTTGGTGATCTATCCTGTACTGCACGGGTTCTCAATGTACTGCGAGGGTGAATAAAATGTTCCTCTTGGCTGATCTCTACGCTCGTGATCTTCTCTCACTCCATTCACTAATTTTTTTTTCCCCCGCTAATTAAACATCATTCCTGAGAATCTAGGACGCCTGCAAAGCATAGGCCACTCCAGCAAAACTACAACCCGCCTGCGCCCATCCAGTCGTAACTTCCGGCTTCCATTACCCACGTGATCGGGTACGCTTGCTGCGCATGCCTAGTAGGAAGTCGGGCTATACCACTTTGCCTCACCGAAAGGGTATATTTTCTATGTTTTTAAGTTTAAAACCGATTCCCGAGTTTACGCTTGTATTACCTCTGTATTCACAGAGGGTAAGAGTCAGTTTTGGGTGGCAGAAGATGTAAGGACCGGAGGGGAATACGGGCGAAAGCGGAGCAGGGCATGGGCTCTCCCCTTCACAGATAATGGGAGGAGCCTGGCCGAGGGGGAGTTCTTTCCTTTCGGCGCTGCGGCCGCAGCCATGAGGTGAGGGCGCGCGGGCCTCTGATTCTGGTTGTTCCGAGGTGCCGGATGGCGGCAGGGTTTGCTTCCACGGCCCTGGGTGGGCGAAATGAGGTGGAGGCAGCCCTGAAGGCAGCCGGTCCCGGAGCTTGGGGTAGGCCGGAGCACGCGAGGCCCCGGTCTCGAGGGGATGGGGGGGTGGGGTGCGTCCCGACAACTCTAGGCCTCAGGGACGGTGGGCCCCGAGGATCCCCCATACGGATCGCGGGTGGCTTGCGCTGTCAGAGGAACGGCTGCGGCGTGGACTCGGCTGTGGCCCCCTTACTCGCTGGGCGCCCCGAATCGGATCGGAGCCGATCTCTGCTTCTGCTTCCATGTGACGTGCCACGTCTCGAGTAGGCCGCGGGCCTCAGACTGCTTGGAGTGAGGCGATCCTCTAGCTCTTTAACGCCTTTCACTTCATGGACGGTTCCTAAGAAAACTCTAAGACTAGCAGAACATAAGCTTATTACTGTGAGAAGACGAAAACGGGCCCAAAAAGCAAAGGACTAGCAAACAAGATACGCTGGCCTCGGAGTCTTCACATTACACGCTTGGTTTTAGAGCTCAGTTCCAGAAAGGGCCTAAGCCCCCTCTTCATCCTAATTTTATCCGGTTTAACCTCTTATTCCAGAAGAGTGACCTGAGGCAGAAAAGTTAAGGTATAGCTTGGGCTTTGTTTTCACTCCAGGGCAGCCCGTTGCCCCTACGGGAATGCACAGCACAGGCTTTAACAAAGATCCTGTTATAGGAAAGATACATCATATGGGATAGGAGGAAGAAATGTTTGCCCTAAATACACATACCCACTTCCCATGTTTTATGTTAGCATAACATTAAGTGATTGGAAGGCAGGTCTTGGTAAGGATGCTCATTTTTTCCCCGGGAACGGCTTCCAGGGCCTGATAGTGTTTTCTGTTTGTCACAGTATGCTCAGGCTTCAGAAGAGGCTTGCCTCCAGTGTCCTCCGCTGTGGCAAAAAGAAGGTCTGGTTGGATCCCAATGAGACCAATGAAATCGCCAACGCCAACTCCCGTGAGTTCTTGGGATCTTTTTCACCTTGCCCCTTCCTCATCCTTTATGAGATGAAACATGTTACAATTGTATTGACTCTTAACAAACCTAGGAAAGCTCATAGTCTGGGGTCTTCTAAAATGGAGGGTCAGAGAAATTTGGAGATGCCAGGGCCCCTGTCCATTTGCCAGAATGAAAGTTAATGGAACCACCCAATGTCGTATTATTGATTATTGCTAGAGTGGGTATGCTGTTTTACAGCTATGTGAAGGATTTTTTTTTTTTAAATTAATGTTTGTTTATTTATTTCTGAGAGAGAGACAACGTGAATAGAGGAGGGTCAGAGAGAGAGGGAGATACACAGAATCTGAAACAGGCTCCAGGCTCTGAGCCAGCCGTCAGCACAGAGCTCGATGTGGGGCTCGAACCCACAAACTGTGAGATCATAACCTGAGCCAAAGTCAGTCGCTCAACCGACTGAGCCACCCAGGTGCCCCGCTATGTGAAGGATTTTTGAGGAGACAGCACCAGGACTGGGAGTAGAGACGGCCCAGGAAATGATGAAGTGATGGATTGGGAAGACCTGGGACCTCAGGCCTTGGCATATGATTATTCAAGGCAGTTAAACAGATGTCAGTCCTGCAGCTAGCAACATATCCACGTTCCTTCCTTGTAATCACTGTTAAACAGAAAAAAAAGTGTTCGAGGATTTTTGTGAAAGACAGTAAGGCAGGCTTTATTCAGGACCTTTGTTGCAAGTGTGGGAACCACTGCAGTAGGATTTTATAGTGGGTGACATTGCTCTCCAATCTGGACATAGCATGGTCAAGTAGGAGTTTATGGCCAGGAGGGTTGTGTGAGGGTCAGTGTGTGGAAGATTATCAAAAGGAAACCTTACTGGTGAAGGGGGTTGGTTCTGGCTAACCTGAGCTAATTGGATTGTTGCTAAAGGCCAGGCCAGGATGATCAAGCATTGCCTAGGGAACATTGATGAAGTGCCCAGGTGGGCCTAGGAGGTGGTTTGGGAACCTGAGGAAAGTTTGGTCAAGCAGAGAACGTTGGTCAGTACTAGGGAATTCCTTAACCAGTTTGAATTTGTGGCATCGTGACATGTGCTCAGAATATCCTAATCTTGAGACAGGAGGTAATGGTGGAGACCAGATCTGAAGGACTGAGCTGTGTTTGTACACTGTTTTGATCACACATCCCTAAGTACCTAAAATTTGAATGTGCTGTAAAACATCTAGAAAGATGGGAAATGTTTCAACAGAAGAGAAAT